TTTGATGTCTATGTACGTTATCACTTTAATATTGTACAACGTCAAGTCGAAGACTTTAGAAGCTGATATCACTTGTGACAAGTTCTTTTCTTGAATAAAGGCAATAAACACGTTCGACCAAGCACCGTGTTTATTTATTTATTTAATTATTCTTTTCCACGAGATGAAATATAAACGTTATTTATCAAGAAACAGTTAATATTCAATTTGATACATTTTTTCACGCCTTTCATTTATATATTTAAATTGTACCCTGAGTGTAATTTTATATTTAGATATAATGTTAAGAATGCCGTAAAAAATTGAATATGCGTGCTTCATTACAGGCATGGCTTTACTCCACCTGATATACTTATATGTTCGTATCAAATAATTTAGTATAAAGTATTCAACACGTGAAACATGTTCTATATTGACCAGGAGCAATACAATACAGTAAAGCGAGAGCTTCGTGCCATAAGGCACTCTGGGAGATTTTCTGTTTTTAGTTGTAAATGTTGATCGGTCAAAATAAATTAAAATGTCGTAACTTATTACATGTACTTTCACAGAGTAGAAATATCCTTTCTTTTTGATAGTAAAACAACATATTTCACCGCGAAAATGTAATAAATCATTATATTCATTACAAATGTATAACTCATATATCTCTACAATAAATAAACCTTAATTCACGTCCCCCCTCCCAAAAAAAAGACGAAAAGACTGAAAATTAACAGTAATTAAGGTTTGTTAATTATTGTATTTCAGTCGGGGCGCAAACACGAAAAGATGGGAATCAATATTTGTTAATTCTCGTATTTTCGGGGAGGAAACACGTAAACAGTAATTAACGTTAAGTAATTCTGGTATTTTCGGGACAAAAAGGCGATGTTATTTAACCAGAAAAAAAAAGAAAATTAATGTCACTGATTACCAGGCATTTGTTTAATCTTTTCGCTTATGATTAGTCGTCAAATTAGCCAATTTGTATTACATGAATTATAACTCCTATTATAACACATAAATGATAACTCGTATTATATAACTTTTATGATAACCCCTGTTATATTACAACATGACAACTACTCCTGGCTCTGAGGGGGTACCCGTGTACAGCTCGCTGTTAGAGCAAAACTTGCTATTTTAAGGTAGCATATGATGAGACTCTTCAAAAAAGTTCAGTTAACATTCCTGTATCTGGTACGTTTTTTCTGTACAGCTCGATATGTGTTTTTGGTTTGGTGCCCTTGGACGAAAAATGGCAAATATTAAGTTTTATTCAAATAACATGCAAAGATAAAGTCTTAGATCCAATAGTACTTTTAACTTGCATGTTTAGACGTAGCTGATACATTTCTATCATGGTTTAATGTAATGCACTACGTTTTGCCAATTTTCGCCGAAAAATCATTTTCAGTTTGAAGGGCATTGAAAGTATGCAGACTCCCCCAAGGTCTACTTTTTATGATGTGATGACCAAAGTTGGTCAAAAACATCCTTAGGGGGTCCTGATTAAAGGGAACTCTCCAGATTTGGTCTCCTTTGTAGGGTTTGTTGACACATGGGGTCAATATAAACAAGGGTTACCCCTACTCCCCAAAAAACGGATTTTACCAAACCTGAAGAACTTCTACAGACATCAAGATCTTGTAATACAATACTAAGCATCTGCAAGCCTATGAATGGTATAAACCTAGGCCCATCCATCAGAGGATGATCAAGTTCATTGAAGGAAAAGGAAATCCTCTCGCAGCTGGTTCGTCCACGAAATTGTCCAACTTCGTAACGAAAGAGATGCCAGATGACGTGAGAAGTCACATGCTGAATGCTACCTCAAAAGGGAAAGAGAAATACCTGATGTTTAGAAAGGAGAGATTTCTGGACAAGACAAGTAGGATCAGTGACTGCATTCATCGCACCAGTTTGAAGACAATGAAGTCTATCCGCAACAAGCCACAGAAGACAACAGAATGTGAAGGAGCTGAATATAGCAGAAAGGAACATTGAAATTGCTCGGGAACGTGGTCTCACTACTGATGATCTCTTACAGTATGATGATGCGCCATCCCTAGTGTTATTTGATGATAAAGGATTGATGACAAAGCCAGCCAAGAGTCAACTGGTGAAGGAATTAGAGGTGTACCTGAAACAAGAAGATTACAGCTACGCTTCAACAAGCGAACATGGCGAACATTCGAAAGATCAATGCTTCAAAACTGTCAGCATTCAGCGACCTCCTGGAGAGTTTCACATCATTCACGGACGCTCATCGTAAGAATGGTCGATGTGACTTTGTCTTTAATGTGTATTCTGAAGCTGCATCTGTGAAAGATAGTGAGAGGCAGACAAGATCTGAAACCAAGCCAATAGAGTTGAGTTCCATTGAGCCGTCGACACAGCTTCCCAAGAATATAGACAGTTTCTGGGGTTCGAACACGAACAAAGCTCACCCTTGAGAAGTTGATCCACACCCATATCCGGTCCCACTGTTCTACCCCCTTGCAGCAGTATCCAGTGGTACTCAGCCAGGTCAGCAGTGATGGACAGTGTTACAGGGTCTACCGAGGCAAGGAGAACACTTTGCCAGAGCTCCAGTCTACTTTTGAGGAAGCAGATCTCCGAATCATTCTACATGTGATGCACTCACTTGAGAATGGGCACAGCATTTGTGTTGTGATGTCCGGGGATACGGATGTAATTGTTGCCCTTCTTTAACACATGCAAGTCTTCTTTCGAAAGGGTCTGAAAGAGTTGTGGGTTCGTGCTGGTGTCGGAGATTCAACTCGCTTTATACCCATACTCTGCATGATCGCCTGGAATCGGACCTCTGTTCAGTACTACCGGCTGTACACAGCTTGACTGGATGTAATATAACAAGTGAAGTAGGAACCAAGAAGGCTTCATTGAAGGCTGAACCTGAGAAATATCTGAAGCAGTTTGGGAAAACTAGGAATCTTCCTCCAACAACTGTGAAGGATGTAGAAAGGTACTTGGTCAAGGTGATGAACAAGGGACGTGAAGCAACAATTTTCAATGAATTGCGGGCGGAAGTCTACCACCACAACATGGGTAGTTCCCATCACAATCTTCCGCCCACAACCCAAGGACTAGAACCGCATATCAAGAGAAGCTTCTACAATTCGTACATAATCATGAATGCCATAGAGATTCACAGCGGAGAAGTGTCGTTGAAGCCAGAGGAATTTGCCTACAAGAATGACGAGCAACAATTGATCCCCGAAACATCATTGAAAACCCTGGAGGCTCACTGGACAGTTGTGTGCTCATGTGCCAAATGTGCGAGGTTTTCATGCCCCTGTAGGACTTTGAAACCAAAATGCGTGAATTTCTGCAAATGCAGGAAAGACTCCAAAAATGAGAGCAAGAATCCCTTCCAGAAGTAGATTAGAATCAAAGTAACGGTAGATTAGAATCAAAGGAAATTTTGATGAGAACTGCCCTTGGTGTGATGGAAAACCCAGCTCTCATACATGTTTCTGTGAAATTCTTTATTGTCAGTAGGCCTCTCACTCTTTCATGACACCTAAGCTGGGTTGATATCAGAGTGTTCTGCTCCTTTTCATTATTTGTACGGTAATAAGCCTCCTGTGAGGCTGGATCGTCTTGTTTTTGACATTTTAGGTCTTTTGCGATTATGCAAATGAGATTGATGTCTGATTGGATTGATACTAATGCCAATGAATCTATTAGTGTCCAAAACATATGCCTAGACCCCCCAAAAAACTCCTCTCTCAATTATCTTGAGAGGTAGAGCCATTTGTGTGAATTCGGTAAAATCCGGTTTTGGGGGTAGAGGTAACCCTTGTTTACATTGACCCTCTGTATCACCAAACCCTGCAAAGGAGACCAAATCTGAAGAGTTCCTTTTAATCAGGACCCCCTAAGGATAATTTTGACCAATTTTGGTCATCATAACATAAATAGTAAACCTTGGGGGAGTCTGCAAACTTTCAGTGCTATTCAAACTGAAAATCATTTTTCGGCAAATATCGGCAAAAAAAAAATGACATTTCACCACGAGAAACATATTTTATTGCATTCAAACTTGTCAAGAATGTGTAAAATATATCTAGAAATGCTAATTAAAGGTACCTTTGGGATCTAAGGCTTCCTGGTTGTTTGTATTTCAAGACAAGTCAGTATTTCCAGTTTTTGCCCAAGGGCATCCAGCCCGAATCACATATCGAGTTGTACAGAAAAAAACGTACCAGATTCAGGAATGTTAACTGAACTTTTTTGAAGAGTCTCATCATATGCTACCAGAAAATGGCAAGTTTTGGTGTAACAGAGAGATATCCATGGGAACCCCCAGAGCCTATAAGTAAACATGAAAACTCCTGGTAACACAAGGATGAAATATACATGAAGTATGATAACTCATTGTTACCATTATGGTGAATTAGGTAACACATGTACGCGAATTCATCAACTTGTGTTTTTACGTATTATATAGAATCTAGTGATTTATTACAGAGACATATATAACATATATAGGTCTCCGTTTATTATAAGCGGTTTATAATTTCATTGGCACAGTATTATTTTGGGGCATTGAAAAATCACGTGCACGGTACGGCGCCAATGTAATATATTTCTAAATATTCACTATCAACGCTACGGCGATATGAAAAGAAAATGACTAGGTTTTCGTCACTTATGGTATATGTTATCGAATCTTGTGACTGAGTAGTTTCGCAATGTCATATACCTGTGTTTGATGTCGTCAATGTATTGCATAAGTCCAATATTTTGCGTCATGAAAAACTACAAATAAAAAAGAAGTCTGAAGGGCTGAAAATACCAATAAAAAGCAATGTAAATCTATTAAAACAGACTTATAGGTAAAAGTGACACGAAACACGAATTTCGGTCAACTTTTTATTTTGTAAGCAAGTGCGTGAACTGATTTAGAAGTGCAGGGCTGGGTTACTTATTTCGTAACATCCGGGATCTTCATCGTTTCTGCCCATGCGCAATAGAAATGGGTCCTATGGAATATCAACATTGACGAAAGGACTGCGAACGAAAATTTAATATCTTGTATGGCAGGTCACACGCAAATTCTAGGCTTACCCGAATTGTCGGTAAGGATGCTACTAACTGACGCATTTATCGATTCACCTGTCACTATGATAATCTCCTTTTATTTCTTATTTCACCTAAATTCTCATTTGACATATTTCAGTCGGATCAACCGGGGACAACTCGGGTTTTGCGGATCAAAGTCATCAACGGAACAAATTTGGCTAAAAAAGATATATTTGGTGCAAGGTAAGATGATCAGTTAGACATTAAAGCCACGTTTAGTTATGCATGCTTACAAACAGGTGGCAGCATGCTGGGTAATATGTGTAAATTTAAGTGTCCAAATTAGGTTGCCCTACATACATTTGGCAGGGCTAGTGTCATGTGAGTAACTTACTATTATTTAGCCGTCTAAATTTGGTGACATGTTTACACGTCGTTAAAGAAGTACTTCTATAGCCGTCTGGTATTCTGTCGGATTTCCTCCTCCAAAAGGAATGTTCCTGTAGGGGAGGAAGGAGCCTTCCTAAAGAGAGAGAGAGAGAAACTAAAGGTTAAATAGGTTTAGTCCAGCTACTAGTTAAAAACAAGTTGATAAACAGAGGAAAAGCTAATATGAATACAATTAAGTATAACAGCAGTTATTTGTTATGAACCAATCGAGTCCAAAGGACAGTATGAGATTGATGCAACTTATTATTGATGTCGGTCACCACTGGCAGAGGGGGAAGCACCAAGCACATGCCCCCACTAAAATTGGCCAAGTGACCATTTTTTGTAAGAAAAATAAACTGAAAATTCATCATCACACATGTTGATAGGTCTAGTACACCTTAATCACATACGAACTGGGGATATTAAATGTTTGTATTCATAGGAATTTGGGCTATGCCCCGAATCTGACCTGATATCAGTGATTTCATTTGCAAATTTGTTTACTTCTACTACATAAGCTCTTTAGTTCTCGCTCTCTTAAACCTTTGCAACCAGTCTCAAAACTTGACATGGATAAAAAAAAAATCATCAACAAAAACGTAACCTATGAAATTTTGTTTTATGATTTGTCAAAATTCAAGATACATATGTTTTCTTTTGTCAACATTTATCTCTGGTACCCAAAACTGAAAAACCAAACACTAGGAAATGGACACATAAAAGTTTCTGAGAAGTGTTCCTCCCTTTCTTTCAAGATATATCAGTAAAAAGCCTTTTCATTCAAAATCCAAGAAGCAATTTTTATCTTATCAAGGTCGCAGATTAAAGTTGCATTTACCCAGCTACGCACAGAGGAAAATCTATGTATGATGAGAATGATCTCTAGAACTCTTTGCAAGAAATAGCAATAGGAGATTTTGAAGGATATTATTTTGGAGGATATCATAGTCAGACGAGGTGCCTTCAGGCACGTAGTTGCCTGTGCAAAAATATTTTTCAGTTCTAAAAATTTGCACCTCCTCTAACTTCAAATCCTGGACGCACCCCTCAACACCTGCATACTATATGTAGCCTAGTTAGAAATAATTGGCTTAAATATTATGAAATGATTCGGTGTTCAACCAATTTGTTTGATGCAATTAACATTTCAAAAACATTTCATAATCTTTTTCAGTGACCCTTATGTGAAAATCAGCTTGTACCGAGGTGATAGGGAAGCTGGTGTTATTGACAGTGTTTGTACCGCTGTCATCAAGAAGGTAAATACTGGAATTATCAGCGATACACATGCCTATAACATCAAATTTTTTTTTTTAACATATTTTTGGCGTCGGAACATTGTTTATCTTGACTGTTGTTTATAAAGATGTTCACGCTCGGTTAAAGCCGCGTGGGTCACATGACAAAGTCATTTACATCCGCCGCAAAGAAAAAATCAATTACGAGGTAAACAAACCCACATGTCTTATGTATGACACTTGCTTTTGCGCCTTTCTTCTAATTCTTGTTTGCAGTAAATGATTCTATAGTGTTATAACATATGATTTTAAACAATCAATCTTGGTCATTCGTTTTGTTTTGGCTTTGTTGTGCCAGAATTATCTATGTCAGTCGAGGGCGCTAAACTAGTGAGGCCCCAAAGGGGGTAAATACAATCGGGGAAAAAAAAGTCATTGTGCAGGAATGTACAGGAATGGGTACTTTGTCTGTACACATTAATTTATATTGCACTGATTATTATGAAGGCTATGCTTATCATCATGGTTGTTATTCTTACAGTAACACCAGAACTGTCATATTTTTACACTTAGAACGAATACCCCCCATTGGACCACATCTTGCAGTCAACAACAAACACACGTCAATAGTAAATTCAAGCGAATATCACAACTATTTTCATTCAACATTTATCTGACAACACTTTTAGTAGTGTTGTTCATAACATTTTTGCGCGTGAAACACTGGATGCTGGATTATAATAAATTACAGGCAGATACGTTATAATTATAAGGCTAACGTTAAGCTAACCAGTCAAGCAGCAGCTTTGCAAAATCCGAATCCGCATTCAGTCCAAGATTCTCCTTCATCTTTAGTCATCTATCTATCTCCTGTCTAATATAAATTCTTGTCTGTCCTCTTTTCTGGTCTGACTCCTTCCTATTACGCTTTCTGGCACTTCTGTAAGGTAACTTTAAGGTCCGTGTCACCTTTTTGTATTTGCGTCTGCCATATTGCTTCTTTCTAGGCATATAAGCATGGGCAGCATCAGGGTTACGAGTGTTAATGTATGAATTAGATCAGGACCGCAATGTTTACATTCTTTATTTTTCAGATATCAATAAAAAATGGTTGCTGTGACATTTAATTTTAGTAATTAACAGAAAGTCTTAGTTTTGTAACATGCTATTGGAAAATATAACATTTTACATCTTTTTCTAATAGCGTTTTTTAATATTATAGTTGCTTTAATAGGTTATGTCATTTCAATAAACTCATTCATTCACAATATCATACCATTTAATTAAATTTTTTTTGTGTGCAAGTGTAACAGAACAGGAAAAAAATATGATATCTAACAGGATTAAATTCCTAGTCTCTGGCATGATAATCTATGGATGTACAAACTTAACAATTAACACTATGTAACAAGCCACACATTAAAGTGCAAATTATACAAAGTGGACACCCAATTACCGGTAATAGAAGAAAAATCATAAGGAACACACAAGATCAATTCTAGTGTCATTGTTTGATTAAAAACATAACTTTGACATGGTCAAGTGGTTAAACACTTCAATGGTTTAATTTTATTTACTTTTCAGACATTGAACCCAAAATGGAATGAAGAATTTCAGTTCAGAGTAAGTACAAGTAAAACATGTTGATTAACATAGATTAGATAAAACTGTTTTTGTGTAGCTTATATTACATGTAAGCAGCTACCAGCTCTGGTTGAAAGCTGTACCAAAATATTTGCCAATGGATGCACAATGATGGAAAGTGAATGATTATTTTTGACATGTTATTTCAAGACTGACCTATATGTTCAATACATAAGTTAGATTGTTTGATTGATTTGGTCAGTGATAATTGATGTATCACAAGAAGAGTGTCTGTTACATGTACCAGGGTTTCCAAAAATTTAAAATACAGAGGGTCCTTAAACGCCTCCATATTGTAGGAGAACAGAGGGTCCTCAAACACCCTCATAGTTCAGAAATATCAAAGTCCTTAAACACCTCAATATTGTAGCAGAATAGAGGGTCCTGAAACACCTCTATATTATAGGAGAACAGAGGGTCCTTAAAGACCTTCATGTTGTAGGAGAACAGAGGGTCCTAAAACAGCTTCATATTTCAGAAATATCGAAAGTCCTTAAACACCTCAATATGGAAGGACAACAGAGGGTCCTTAAACAGCTTCATATTGTAGAACAGGGTCCTTAAACACCTTCATATTGTAGAACATAGGGTCCTTAAACACCTCCATATTGTAGAACAGATGGTCCTTAAACACCCTCATATTGTAGGAGAACAGAGGGTCCTTAAACACCTTCATGTTGTAGGAGAACAGAGGGTCCTTAAGCACCTCCATATTGTAGAACAGAGGGTCCTTAAACACCTCCATATTGTAGGAGAACAGAGGGTCCTTAAACAGCTTCATATTGTAGGAGAACAGAGGGTCCTTAAACACCTTCATGCTGTAGGAGAACAGAGGGTTCTTAAACACCTTCATATTGTAGAACAGAGGGTTCTTAAACAGCTTCATATTGTAGGAGAACAGAGGGTCCTTAAACACCTTCATATTGTAATGTAGGAGAACAGAGGGTCCTTAAACACCTTCATATTCTATTGTAGAAGAACAGAGGGTCCTTAACACCTTCATTTTGGAGAACAGAGGGTCCTTAAACACCTTCATTTTGTAGAATAGAGGGTCCTTAAACACCTTCATATTGTAGGATTTTTTAATCAAGAAGATTCAGTCAAGGATTGTATTTTTTTTTGCATGGATGAATTACCAGGAAAGTGAACCTTGTGTAAATGCAGTGACTGTAAAGCAGTACATGTATCATTAGCATGAGTTTACTTTCCTTCATCATTCCATGCAACCATTTCAAAAAATCCTGCAACTCCATTGTACTTCAGTTGACCCTGCAGCACAATGTAGTGGCACTTTGTAATACTGTAGCAGGTGTTGTATATGTGGGTAAACATATACGGAAAAGCTGCAAGCATGCTTCATTTGTTGCCAGGCAACAATAATCATAAATTCAAAATTCAATTGATTATCACAATATAGGTATGCTGAAATCAGACATTTTGAAAATTCACTTTCATCTTCAATGAATATGAAATTTGATTTTTATAATGAACAACTTTCACAAGTGTTCTTTATTTAGTATGGGTTGTATTGCACAGCAGTAACAGCACTATGATTTTGTAAGTTGGACACTCAAGGGAGTTTCATTACATTGTCAGATTTTGAAAACGCATTGATAAAGTGGAATTTGACTTTCATATACTAATACAAGATAATGAAAATGCTGTCATGAATGGTTACAGGTTTAGTGTCCTTGACGTTTGTATTGATTGACTCAAAGTGTGTATTGATTGACTCAAAGTGTGTATTGATTGACTCAAAGTGTGTATTGATTGACTCAAAGTGTGTATTGATTGACTCAAAGTGTGTATTGATGGACTCAAAGTGTGTATTGATGGGCTCAAAGTGTGTATTGATTGACTCAAAGTGTAGTGATGGGCTCAAAGTTTGTATTGATTGACTCAAAGTTTGTATTGATTGACTCAAAGTTTGTATTGATTGACTCAAAGTTTGTATTGGTCGACTCAAAGTGTAGTGATGGGCTCAAAGTTTGTATTGATGGGCTCAAAGTTTGTATTGATTGACTCAAAGTTTGTATTGATTGACTCAAAGTGTGTATTGGTTGACTCAAAGTTTGTATTGATTGACTCAAAGTGTGTATTGATTGGCTCAAAGTGTGTATTGTTTGACTCAAAGTGTGTATTGATTGACTCAAAGTGTGTATTGATTGACTCAGAGTGCAAATGCAGCTGAAGCAGTCATGGCAAAAGTTTTAAGATCAGGCTGCATGTTGAAAGGCATGCATTGTGGTAGGATCATTCAGCCCAGACGATCTTCACTCATGACTGGCATTTGAGTTGTCAAATAACAACATATTTTAGTTTGGAAAAGATGTGGCATTTGAATTACCAAATAACAACATATTTTAGTTTGGAAAAGATGTGGCATTTGAATTACCAAATAACAACATATTTTAGTTTGGAAAAGATGTGGCATTTGAATTGTAAAAGAACAACATATTTTAGTTTGGAAAAGATGTGGCATTTGAATTGTCAAATAACAACATATTTTAGTTGGGAAAAGATGTCATATTTATTTGACCACTTGCACACACTGTTTGGTACTGTAATAATGAAATCTTGACTGTTGGATTATTTCATAATGAGTCTGGTATAAGCTTTGAACAAACTATTACAGGTATGTAGAATCATTGTTGATGTGATGGTGCTTTTTTTAGAAATGTCAGCGTTTTATCAGATCATCATCATCATCTGTTTTTAAACTGACTGCTCCACACTGGTATTTTTCATTAGCATATAAGTCTTACTCTTATATAGATAAGTTATATAGATACAGACAATATTTTAAATCCTTCTGTTTTTATGCTTTCTCTTTTATGGAAGGTTATATTTATATGGAAGGCATTATGATGTTACCCAGATCTGTTACTCCTATTGTATCCTGTTCCAAAGCAACAAATCAGTGTCTTATCTTGAAAACCTCTCTACAAATTTTAAAACTTTGTTCATATTTACTCCATATTTTCATAACATTACACCCTATTATGTCAAGGTGGTCATTGGCGAAGGTTAAAGGGTTAAAGGTCAAAGCTGACATATTGCGCATTGGAGGGGAATTAATGTCGTAGTTATTTTGCAGCTACATTACTTCAACATATCTAAGGTGTTTTGTATGTAGGTAAAGCTCTTTTCTGTTCAAAATCCTCATCCCATGTGTTATGTGATAATGAAATATTTATGTTATATTTCAGGTAAACCCAAGAGACAATGTGTTATTGTTTGAAGTGTTTGACTCCAATAGAGTGGTGAGTATCAGATAATACAAGTGAGTCTTAGATAACCAGGAGGTCCAGATTGAGGAATTTCTGATACCGTAAATATTCGCGTATAGTGCACACTTTTTTAAGCTGAAACTGTTGTGTCAAAAAGAGGATGCGCACTATACGCAGGTACATGCCATTCCTGGGGTTATCATTCCCGAGTTCTGCATCCGCCATATTGGATTACCTCCCTTCACATAGTTATATGTAAAAGTCGTCGGTCTTATATGATAGTTTGGAGATAAAAACAACAATAAAATCACCAAAAATAAATTTCGAATGTTTTAATCATCTGCCATTCACGCTAGCATTACGGTGAATCTAATTTTTTTTTCGTTTCCCGTCGGTCTTACTATTGGTCGGGGCTATATTAGTGTCTGAATTTCTGCCTCATTTTGATGATGTATCTGTGGAATTCAATGAATCCGGAAGTTTTTAGGCAATTGTCGTTCTGTTCATAAATCAGATAGCCCATCCCACCGATGCCCAAAGTTGGTGACCCCATGACCTCTCTTAATCTGCATGGCCCGATGCCGGGATATCGGTGATCGCATACAAAGTTATACAGCTCTCTCTCTCCATCTCTGGGTGTTTCGCTGTCGCACCTATGTCAGCCCTTCTGGTCAGTGGTTGGGACTTTAGACGGTCTTTTCTTTCTTCCATGCCTTGATATTTCACTCTGGAATGTCGAAGTGGCGACCGGCGGCACGAAACTACAGTCTCTCGGCGTAGTCAAATGGCGTTCGTAGTTTCCCCATGTCGAAGTTGGTGTAAACAATCTATTATTTAATACCTTCGGATACCGCGGTGGGTACAGATACCATGAAAGATCATGCCTATACTGAACAAACCACCTGCTTTTATGGGGACAAGGTAGGATTGAAAATGTTCAGACAGTTAAAACAACATCGTTTTCTGACCAATATTACGCGTTCAGCCCAAGCCGGGTGTCATCAGTCTCCTCGTACTCAACGTGTTAACTGTAATTAACCGTTAATTATACAATCAGCCAAGCCTTTCATGCTTGTTAGGTCACCTGGGTAAATTTGTTTACTGAAGGTAATTACATGTGTTAGGGTCCCGCCCATTGTGGTTTCCTAATTATCAATGGATCAGTCCACATCAAATGTTTCGTCGCAGTGACCAGTCAATTAATTTTTCTGTAGATTTTTTTTTTTTTAATCTGATCTCCAAAAAGTACCTGCGCACTATACATGAGTGCGCACTATACGCGAATATTTACGGTATTTCATATATAACAGACATAGTGGGATTAGAATGGAACAATAAAGTCTAAAAATTTTCATCATAATTTCAATATTAATAAACAGTAAGATATTAAGAGTTTAATTTTGTAAAGTACATATTTTATCTCAGACCCGAGATGACTTTTTGGGATTGGTGGAGATCCCCCTGGCACACACCAGTATTGCCTGTGAAAGACCGGGTCGTGATTTAGCAGCCAAAGACTACATCCTCAGACCACGCAGGTAGGTGGACTTAATTAATTGTTAACTGCAGAGCAGCTATTTATAAACCGAACCACAGCTACAACTAACTTTAGATGTTCAGTATATTAAGGTATTTTATGGGCATCTGAGAAAGAGTTGGTAGTTGTCAATATCATATAAAATAACTCTATGATAATGCTTATACCAGATATCATTCAAGAATTGTCTTAACCATAGATATTGATATAAAAAGAAAAAGGATCTTTGGTCTGGAAATGAGTTTGCACAGTGCTTTCTTTGAAAGTGAAATGTAGATCACTGATGGAAGACAAAAGGCAGGTTCACCTGGTAGTTTATCTGATGGATAGATTATTTTGTCTTTTGAGAGATTGATAGATTATTTTGTCTTTGAGAGATTGATAGATTATTTTGTCTTTGACAGATTGGTAGATTATTTTGTCTTTGACAGATTGGTAGATTATTTTGTCTTTTGAGAGATTGATAGATTATTTTGTCTTTGAGAGATTGATAGATTATTTTGTCTTTGACAGATTGATAGATCATTTTGTCTTTGAGAGATTGATAGATTATTTTGTCTTTGACAGATTGATAGATCATTTTGTCTTTGACAGATTGATAGATTATTTTGTCTTTGAGAGATTGATAGATTATTTTGTCTTTGACAGATTGATAGATTATTTTGTCTTTGAGAGATTGATAGATTATTTTGTCTTTGAGAGATTGATAGATTATTTTGTCTTTGAGAGATTGATAGATTATTTTGTCTTTGAGAGATTGATAGATTATTTTGTCTTTTGTCTTTGACAGATTGATAGATTATTTTGTCTTTGAGAGATTGATAGATTATTTTGTCTTTGACAGATTGATAGATCATTTTGTCTTTGACAGATTGATAGATCATTTTGTCTTTGACAGATTGATAGATCATTTTGTCTTTGACAGATTGATAGATCATTTTGTCTTTGAGAGATTGATAGATTATTTTGTCTTTGAGAGATTGATAGATCATTTTGTCTTTGACAGATTGATAGATTATTTTGTCTTTGACAGATTGATAGATTATTTTGTCTTTGACAGATTGGTAGATTATTTTGTCTTTGAGAGATTGATAGATTATTTTGTCTTTTGTCTTTGACAGATTGATAGATTATTTTGTCTTTGAGAGATTGATGGATTATTTTGTCTTTGAGTGATTGCTATAACACAATAGTTTTTTCCCAACCTTCATTTGTTTTGCATTTGAGCAAAAATTTGATATTTTATTTCATTTAGGTTTAATTTAATAGTGTTTGTTTTCAATGAATATGTTTTTCTGATATCCTTGTAGAAGCAATATGTCTTTTTACTGAAAAATTATAGAACTTTTTTTAGTTTCTTAACCTTCTTTAAAAAATGCTTGAATAAATTACATGTTTCTTTGACAAACACAGTCACACTCTGTAATGTCTTAGATTCCACTCTTTTAATGACTTTTTGCTCTAGAATCCTGCACTGATAAAAAATCAGATAAATTTTAAACTTCAGAAAGTTTTGAAGTGAAAGTTATATTTCCAGTAATTAGATGTATTAGATACTGAGTGAATATATATAAAAATCCATTCTATTACTGTCAGATGATTTTTATAAGTTAAGAAGTTAATATTTTTTGCTATAAACAGAAGATGGAATCGATTGTAAGTAGTTAAGATGGCCTCTGATTTTATTCATTTATTTTTGTGGATGACCACTTTTTCTTTCTCTGACCACCAGGAATGGCCGCACTGGACAGCATGTCTGTGCTGTATACTAACTGACTGACCAGTTATATACAAATCTTCTGTTTTCAATATCAGCCACCCAGTATCATTTTAACATAGTTTACAAATGTACTGTCCTTAGAATTGCAATGCTTCATTGCTGGAAATATAATTGTGGAGCACAATCCAGTACACTGTTTACATTGTAATAGTTCCTGAACAGAAACACCTAGGTACACATAGTGCATTCAACTGTTATCATTTCATGCTGCTTCCCCTTTACTGTTGACATTTGTGAGGTTTGGCTTTTTTTTTTTTTAAGTAAAACTGATGATTTTTGCAGTTTTATAGGTTTACTTCAGTTATCTTCCTTTGTAGTCTGTTGTAGAGACTTTGTTTAATAGTCTACTGAGCTCGTCTGGCTTGATGGACAAAAGATGTAATTTCACCATCTTCTTTTTGCAGTTTTAACAGTACCTATATTCAAATTTCAAAATTCTAATGAGCAAAATAAACCAATTTGAACTTGGCATACATATTAGTGAAAAGTTTGAAACACTTTGAACTCTTATTTCTGACAGGAAAAAAAGATTTTTGAAGTTAGATGTTACCTGTCATGAAAATATCCCCTATAATGATGTAACATAGTCTGAATATATACCTTCACATTTCTGGACAATCTGCATGTGCAAGAGGTCAAATTTCTACCTATACTATATAAAACATTCTGAAATTTGAATTTCAACAATACTTTATTTAAAAATCCATTTCTTAGAAGACATTCAATTCATTATTTCTGGCATGGATCAATTACATTCTATATCTACATAACTATATTTTCTGTACAAAAGTCACTCCCTAGTTATAACCACAGACAAAACTCCCATTACTTTCATTAATTACTCCATACTATTAACAAGTAATGACTATACTAGGAATCTTTTACATTAACCTTTCATGTAAAATACTATTGTTACCGATGAAATAATAAGTTTTGCAATAAACGTTAATGTATTTCTAATAAGAAAATCTCTTGTCTGAAGGACTGATACCTTTCTAAAACACCCATATATTTTGCTGTTTGTACGTGAATTGGATAAATGTTTATTGTTTATTTATAAACCCCAACATATTCCTTGTTTTAGTATTAAAGTTCTGATTTCTCAAAAATGATGGTTTAAGTTTTACTTAAGAATAGTCTTCCTGTTTTTCTCATTTCATTATATGAAAAACAACTCCATATTTCTTTTTCTTAGATTTGATATAAAAAAAAAAAAACATTCTGGAATTATACAAGTGTTTGAAACAAAGAGTTCACTTAAATACACTTACCAGAACCTTTATTTACATCAGCCAGACAAATGTGCTTCTAAAATATTATTTGTTGATGTTGTAACTCAGGAAAGTGTTTGATATCTTTGCTAGGATTTATCATATAATATTGGTACATGAAGACAACAACAAGGACCAATATTCTCTTTATTGATAGGATATTATACCTGGTATATATAGTTTGATATTCCTGTTTATTTCCAACTAGACATTTACCAACAGTTAGAGGTGGTAACCAATAAAAACACCACCCCTTTCCTGGTCTTTACAACAGTTGTCTCATTGCAACCAAAGAGAGAGACTGAAGTTTTACTTTGTGCATCATATTAAAGGAAAATTAGCTCAATTTCTCTTAAAGTATCAAGTGTTTATAATATATAGTTACTGTAGATTTTTTGGTGTACAACCAAAATTGGGTCAAAAATTCAAAATGTTTGTCTAATTTTCAGGTGAAAACGAAGTCTCAGTTGAATAGGAGAATAAGTAATTTGTTGACTGTCAATTTACCAGTCAGTAAACAGTGTTCTGGTCTCATATGTGCTTTTGGCACTTTTTGGACTTAGTCATGTTGGCGACAATCAGACATCATTGAAGAATTAAAAAAAAAGAAAAAGATGCATCAGAAATCAGAAACCAAAATGACACCATCTAGAACATTGAAAGGTTCTGTACTCAATTACGATAAAGATAATAGGATGAAAATGCACCTTTAAAAACTTATGTTTAAAAAAGACTCTAAATCAAGGATATGCAACCATATGTCATGAACTAATTTGGAAGGAACGTGTTTTGCAGTACATCACAATAGTTAACATGTTATCACGTACCTACCTGATTTTCGACACAACATTTTCATGAAACAGATGAGGATATTAAATTGGAACAAATCACAAATATTCATTACATGAAACAATAGAGCACAGGAGACTTCATTAGGACTATATGCATTAACATTCACAAAGTCCTTTTTATAATTGAATTAAAGATAGAAATTTTGTTACCTGATGGTAGACAGAGGTACAAGCATTATTACCTGGTGGTAGACAGAGGTACAAGTATTGTAACCTGGTGGTAGACAGAGATACAAGTATTGTTACCTGGTGGTAGACAGAGGTACAAGTATTGTTACCTGGTGGTAGACAGAGGTACAAGTATTGTTACCTGGTGGTAGACAGAGATACAAGTATTGTTACCTGATGGTAGACAGAGGTACAAGTATTGTAACCTGATGGTAGACAGAGGTACAAGTATTGTTACCTGATGGTAGACAGAGGTACAAGTATTGTTACCTGATGGTAGACAGAGGTACAAATATTGTTACCTGGTGGTAGACAGAGGTTCAAGTAACAGAGGTACAAGTATTGTTACCTGGTGGTAGACAGAGGTACAAATATTGTTACCTGATGGTAGACGGGGGTACAATTATTGTTACCTGATGGTAGACAGAGGTACAATTATTGTAACCTGGTGGTAGACAGAGATACAAGTATTGTTACCTGATGGTAGACAGAGATACAAGTATTGTTACCTGATGGTAGACAGAGATACAAGTATTGTTACCTGATGGTAGACAGAGGTACAAGTATTGTAACCTGATGGTAGACAGAGATACAAGTATTGTTACCTGATGGTAGACAGAGATACAAGTATTGTTACCTGATGGTAGACAGAGATACAAGTATTGTTACCTGATGGTAGACAGAGATACAAGTATTGTTACCTGATGGTAGACAGAGATACAAGTATTGTTACCTGATGGTAGACAGAGATACAAGTATTGTTACCTGATGGTAGACAGAGATACAAGTATTGTTACCTGTAGAATTATCTTAGGTTAAATGTTTTATTTCTTTTATTTCAGAATAAAAAATCCTTTATGTGTAATCACAATGAAATTACAGTTGTGTAAAGCATTCAGATTTACAGCCGTCATAAATCCTACAATAGGAACTATTGTAGGTCTGTACATAAATCATGCAACAACACAAATATATTGAAATTGATTTTTCCTTTAGAAGTTCTAATTAATTTGAAATACATTGATGTGATAAGTAACATACACAAATTTCCATGTTGCAGTGTAAAATCAAGGGTCAAGGGCCACCTATGGCTGTATCTGGCTTTGTTACCATTGTCGGACACAGAGGAAGAGGAAGGTGAAGATACAGCAGCTGGACAACCACAACAAGAGGTGAGTCAGGTACATTTAATTGTTTTATTTATATGTATATATTTACTTTCTTGGTAATGGGAAAATGGTCATCCTTACAAGGTGTTTAACCCATAGTTTAGGATGAACTATAGCAGTCAGGCCCCAGTTGCTCCAAGCCTGGTTATGCTCATAAAGTTGTTATGGAAAATTTAAAAACAAAATTGGGAATGTTTCATGCAATTTCACAGCTGTAGATTTTTGAAACAGGTCAGATTGATGCATTTCAAATATCTATTTGGCTTTGAAAGTTTTTGTATTTTCATTTGCAGCTAGTTGATTTTTCCTCATAAAATTGTAAACTCTTAATGTAGTTTTGAGTAAATGTAAACAGACTTCTTATTGTGGTTTCCTTCCACCTTGGAGATTGGCCAAGTTGTTTTATTTCGGTTAGTTAGTAAATCATGTATCTGAAACACAGAAATATGTTTTGTTCTCATGAAAACCTCATCATTAATATTGACTTAAAAAATACATCTGCAGAGTTACTTCCCTTACATTTAAAAAAATGTTAGTTTCACAAATGTTCCCTGAAATGGTCAATTCATAATCGTAAAATTTTCCATACAAAAGCATTACAGAACTAAAGAACAATGTTCTTGTCAGTTTTTCTTGAACTCCATCAAAGCTTTTTAATGGACAAACGTCACGTAAATAAGATGTATGAAAATTTATACTACACGTCCTTCCACAGATTTTTGAGTTGTTCCAGTATCTTTATTATAGTAGTAAAAAGTATCCAAATATTTCTTCTAAGTATCGCATTAAACTTAAAATATATTATTGAATATGAAGAAGTTTAAGTATATTTTATATAGCTCATATAAAGATTGCTACAAGTATGCTTATAATATTTGAAAATATTTGCAGTCAGGATGGGAGTTTTTAGACATGAACAATAGTTTAAATGAGGCTGGTGCCTCTGGCCCCACCCAGGAGGCTACAAATGCTGAGCCCCTACCACCAGGCTGGGAGATGCGAACCCATCCGGAAACCCATAGGAAATACTACATCAATCATACCACACGTACCACACAATGGGATCCTCCTACTGGGTAAGTATACATAAGTATTACATGTTTTCTTCAACTAATATACAGATGTGGTAATGTTCAACACACCAAATACTTTGTGTGCTTGTCGTGCATACATCATGTGCACACACACGCACACACACTCTACAGACCTAGCACCCACACGAGCGATAGGACCGCACATTTTGTGGGATTTGGTGAAAATGGTTGGCTGACATTACTGATTGAAAATTTAAATGGAAATTTTCTGTAGCTATAACTAAACAGCAATCACAGGCATATTTAATTTCATCAGTGATTACAAAAGTAAATATTAACACTGGACCCTACATTAATTAGTCTTTCTATTGTATAGTTTCAGAAAGTGACAAGTAGTGTTTGTGTCTAGAGCAACAAAAATGACCTGTATACAGGTATATATGTGACATGTCCAGATAGGTACTGTCTAGGTCTCCTGTGTAACAAACACAGCACTGAAGATTTACCTGAGAATATATCTTTTGTTTACAAATTAATGGCAAAATGAGTGTAATACAGAAATATTCAAAATAAACAAACCCTATCCCACACTTATCTATAAGTAATTTTTCAACCACAATAGTATCACACATCTGTTCCATAGCTTATTTTGCCCAGTTTACTTATCGTGTATACATCTTGCTCACATCTGTAACACTGTGCAATCCCACAACTGTAGAAACATACTTTGAGTAGCAAGGATGCTTTTTTCTTACCAGGTTAAAATATGGCTGAACCTGAAAGAAGATAGCAGCTTCAGGTCTGGACCAAGACTTACCTATTGAAAATTTGATATGTATGAACTTAACTGGACTTGATAAAGATTTGTTTTGTTACAGGGTATTAGGAAGCAGTGACCTCCCTGCAGGCTGGCAGGAACGAATGGACTCCAATGGGAGGACATACTATGTCAACACACAGACCAGATCCACACAGTGGGAAAGACCTTTAGGGTATGAACTAGAAACCACATGTCATATCAGTTTATGTCAAGTTTCTGTTATCACATTTTCTTGAAACGCCACTATCTCTCACTATATATTCTCAGTAAATTTGTATCTGACATTGTCAGTTACTTTCATGTGAGCAATGCTTAACATTGCTTCTTTTCAGTGACAATAAAAAAATACAGGTAGATCGCATGTTAATAAGAGCTTTGGATTCATGCCTTGATGACCATTAGTCACACATGAACATGTTAGTGTAATAAGGCTTAATTCCTTTTTGCCTACTATCTAGATAATGCAGGCAGATGATTATGTAATTGTATTCATCTTTGATCTAGTCGAAATTTCACTTGGAATGTTTTCTTCTGTTTTGTAGTTTTTCAGAATCGACCACTTTCTAGATTAAGTTTATGTGAAGACATTCTAATCCTGATTAGTTCTCTTTGAAATTTACTGTTATCTATTCCTCTCATAGGAATGAATGGATGTTGTCTAAATTTGGTCTGAAACATTCTTGGGTGTAGGAGATTCAGTTCTGTATAAAGATTGGATTCCATCCCCATAGGATGGGAGGGATGGGGTCCAATTGCAAGTTTTTAAAAATCCATCTTCTGTTCAAGGATGTTTTCCAAGTTTGATCTGAAGCACTTTTTATGTACAGTATAGTGAATCTGACTTCTGTTTGACCACAAGGGTGGGACCCAATTTGAGCACTTTATGGAATGATCAAATTTTAGAGGCATAATTCATTTATGCTTATTAAAATTGTTTTATCACAGTTTGACACTTGTCATGAAAATGAAAAATCCTTGTCTCATAGGTCTTGTTTTCTTGTCAGGGTTCAGTTGGTATAGGTCTAGTACTAATATGTACTATTGTTTAATGAACTCGTGTTATTACACATATTATCTCATATATTACAGAAGTAATTCCACAGAAGAAGAAACAGCTGGGGAGGATCTACGTCAGCAACAAAGAAATGTGGCAGCCCAAATGTATCGGGCTCGACGACACATCAGTGTGGAAGACACTATTAGTATGCAAGGAGACACGGATAGTCCAACACCAACTCCACGCCCTGCATCTACTGGTCAAACAGAGGTAAGTCTGCACACTCCAGTGGATGGTAGACTGGGGACATTGATGGGCTTACACATATTGCTTAGATTCTGTCTGTGAACATTATTTATTTCTTTTCACAGCAATAGAGTCTTTCTTTTTGTAATATGCAGTCAAACTTGGTTAATTTGAAGTCATTGGAATTGTGATGTGAAAAACCCTAAGAGGTATCAGAGAATTTATGTTAAAGAAGTTTGAACGTTTTAGCTTAATGAAATTTAAATATATGTTACACTAAATAAGTAATAACATTTACATGCAAGTGTTAGCTCAGGCCTTACAGTAATCAGATGGATGTTTCAGATCGGAAATGGAAGTAAATACATGTACAACAAAAATCACTGCATTGGAGTGTCAAGGTAGTTAGAAGATATTGATGAGCACCACAGCTCACACAAAAGCAATAAACATCATCAGTAAATCCTACTTAGCACCTTCTCATTGGTATATCATTCATTGGCTATTTATATCAAAGTTCAACTGTGCAGGTAGGTTCCTTGTGACCCATATTTCCACATCAAAATGTCTCAAGATTTTGGGTGTCAGTAAAGGGCTTTCCCAAATTGTTGTTTACTGTTCATCATCATTCTTAATGAAGTCTTATTCATAATATGAGCATGTTTTTATTGTGGCAATAGTCAGATAGATTTTCTTTTCCAAATTGAAGTGATAACAGGGCATAGTGTGCACAATGATAACAATAATAGTAATTTTTGTAAGATTTTTTTCTGATGAGCCCACAGCACCATGTCCATAATTTTGAAGAGTCCAGTTACACAGAGATATCATAGGTGCTCAAAAATTTGAGTAAGTCCTATAGGGAAAGTATGGAGACCAGGACTCAAATGTTTGAGTTTAAAAGATCACTGAGTGTTCTGAGACACAAAATGACTGTGTTAATATTTTGTCAAAATAAATAAGATTTCTATTTTTGGGACCAACTTTTTATCAGAATTTTTCCAGATTTAAGTTTTATGAGTTTTTTGTTACTTAGATAGAGAGAGAATTTTGTTGGGGCCAACCAAGTATTTAAGAGTTCAATATAATATTCAAATAATAATGATAAGTTCAAATTAACAAATTTGGAATGTATTATTAGAAAAAACAAATTTTTAACACATTTTAGAATTTTTGTGTTAAAGGTGAAAGCTAATTTTTGATGTCAATTAAAATTCCGGTGCAATTTCCCTACTAATCAATAATATTGTTATATACCACGGAAAGCTTTATCATTGATCCAAACAACAATGGAAAAACATATACTGTACATCACCAAAAAAGAATTATTATAAACAAAAAATGATAGCCTTTCTAAATTGAATGGAACTGGCGTTTCCAGATCAGAAATCAACTCAACCGTCACAGATTTGCATCAGTAAACTCAGCTCCCAGATTAGTAAGTATTAGAGGAAGTGTGCTTATGACCTGTTATCCAATTTGATTGCATTTTTCTTACATTTTTTTTTTCTGTAAATTATTGAATGGGCTATGCATTATTTAAAGGCATGTCAGCTACAGAAATGAAAGGATTTTCTACTCTTGTTACATTTTGTAAAAATGAAGCCTTGTTACACTTTCCCTATCCAACAGAATGTTGTTGTTTTTTTTTTGAAGGCTGATATACTTTACATTCATAACTTATTGAAAAAAATTATTGACTTATATATACTATACTGTACTTGTATATTACAAAAAAATGAATTAATGAATATTGAATCCAATTCAAATCTTTTTAATCTGTGTTTCTTTACAATATCAAGTCAAATGGATAATTAGTATAATTATGATTTATCTAACAAAAACTAATCAATTACCTTATCATTCCTTAACCTCAGGAAGGGTTGACTGTGACATTGTATTGTGTTATCTACAAAATATTGATATCATTTATCATGAAAGAAAAATGCAGTTCAGATAAAAAGTTTGATGCATATCCTGCAAGATAAGATTCCATCAACACTTAATGCTTGCTTAATCCTATGCTAAGAATTATTCACTCTGTGTGTCTCACAGGTACTGACCATGCTAATTGTTTGATGTTGATGTGATTTGATGGATTTAGGCCTGAACCTAAACACTATTTAACAAGATATATTTGAATAATTAGAACTGAATGGATTGAATAACATATTAATTATTATATAATATGTAGAAGAGATTTGTCCATTGAAAAATTGTACAAGGTATGTGAGAAATCCCTTAGCAGAAATAGTTCATATTCACACTAAAGTATCACAGCATCAACTTGTACACTTGATTGAAATTGATGGTTATTATTAATTTTCAAGGATATATAAACTTATCACAAGTGTTTACATTCATCATTTCTTCTGAATAAGGGATATGTCTAACGTATGTGAATCAATTTATTTATATTTGAAAGAATGATTTTCTGTTTAGTTTATGTAGAAAGTTGTTACGATATAGAGGATCTAATCATTCTATAAGGAGTTGACTTCAGGACAGATGTCTCTCATTGCATTGACCTGAGGATTTAATTGTCTCCCTCCATTGTGACTTGAGGATTTAGTTACCTCCCTTTGCTCTGACCTGAATATTCAATGTATCTCTTTACTATGAATGATGATCTAGTTATATCCCTCAGTATGATATGATGATTCAGTTATCTCCTTTCACTCTGATCAAAGCATTTAGTTATCTCCCTTCACTATGACCAGGGGATTTAATTATCTTCCTTCACTATAACCAGGGGATTTAATTATCTCCCTTTACTATGTCCCAATGATTTAGTTATCTTCCTTTTTTATGTCCTGAGGATTCAGGTGTCTCCCATTGGATTTAGTTATTCCTCATCACTATGTCAGGAGGATTCTGGTTTCTCCCTTCACTATAATCAGGGGATTAATTATCTCCCTTTACTATGACCAAAGGATTTAGTTATGTCCCTTCTTTATGTCAGGAGGATTCAGGTGTCTCCCATTGGATTTAGTTATTCCTCATCACTATGTCAGGAGGATTCTGGTTTCTCCCTTCACTCTGTCCAAAGGATTTAGTAATCTCCAATCACTTTGTCACAATGATTTGTCTCCCTTCACACTGACTTTTATTTTACAGTTGTCTCCTTTCCTTTCAACCTTGCTGACTGGGTTGTTTCTCATTCTTAAGATTATACTTGTTCAACTGCACGTTATCCCAAAGCTAGCTTCAAACTTATGCTCATTAAATTTAATACTTGTATAATTGTAGTGATCTTGCTGCAAGTAAAATCAATAAAACAGTTAACATGCTAGACCACCTAGTCCCATTGTGACATAGGCGTTGGTGCTTTATATGAGGTCGAGGTGTCTGGTATTTGCTAGATTGTATACTGACTACCAGTTTAGCTGGCACTGCTTAACTCTCAGAGATGCAATACAAATCATCCGTCACAAAGCTATTCTATTCTTCCCATTATCTATTCTAAACCACTCCTTGTTTAAGGTGTACCATCTTCACAGATCTGGACTCATGCATGTGAAAATCTTGAAAGACAAAGCATTGTGATCCTATGTACCTCTTACAGAGCCATGAAGTCAGTCCAATATTTTCTTCATTTAGCATGTTATTTATTGTTTACATTTGTCATAAAAATCATTGAGGTTGATGTTGTAGATTGTAAAGTTGTTTAAGACTGATGAGAGTTAATAATCCTGTAGAATTTGGTACATTCTCTTTCTGTTCCTTTGCTAGTCAGATTTGCTTTGTCATTATATGTTCTTTTAAATTTTACTTGATATTTTAACAGTCCATTTTCTTGATATCTTAAGTCTGATTTGAAAACATGATATTTATTCTTCAATATTGAATTTTGTGATGTTAAATTTTAAAACATATGAATGCTATCTACTCTCTGTTTAAGTAGTAAGTTACTTCTTGGCTTATAAAAGGCTTTGTGGTTTGATTAGAGAAGATTTGTGGTTGAGCTGAGTGTAATTTTCTCATGATACCAGATAATTAAATAAGTTGAGATGAAGTAATCCAACAAATGAGGGCAGGTTCGTCTGTGTATTTATTAGGTAGTTGGTCTACTGGTTTCGCCAATTTAAGTCGGGCGTTCAAAAAATACATAGAAGAACGCGCCCTAGTCTGTTGGATTGATTCATCTCAACTTAAGCTCACCTCATCTATCCCTTGCATACCATCGGGTATCTAGATGAAAGGCGTAGGACCTTTGGATTCCCCTTTGACTGAGCAGAGACGTTGGCTCTAAATGGTATACATTAATAAATAAGGTTATATCTTTTAAGTGTGAATATAATTGGGCAAGAGAAAGGAATAAAGGCATATTTCCTCTCTGGGATCTAAATTATAGGTAGTGTGCTGGAGTATTATGATCCATTGGTTATAATAATTAAAATTTAACATTCACTATTAATGATGATTTTTTGTTATCTGTGTTACTACTAGTTATTACAGAGATTGACAGCAGACTTCAAATTGACTTAATTAAAGAAATGTTTTACTAATAAATATAGACTAAGATAATATTTCTGTGCATAAATGTTTGAATAAGAAATATTGACCTCAGCTTATTTATTTCCAGGTAGAATTGAGTATATAATCAACTATTTTTTTAATCAATCAATTATCCATCATCTTTTACTGAAGAAATTGATTGAACTTTCATTGTGAAGTGATTTGTAATGCAATATGAAAATATCAGTTAGGCAAATTTTTCTTGTTAGGTCTGATTTAAAAAAATATATTGTCCTTTCAAATTTTTACACTGTATTGATGTTACAGTTGTAGAGGTATCAGAATATAGATCAATGGATTTGATCACCTGTGTTTTAAGGACATTCTGCTACTTAATTGACATCATGGTTGCAACCTTTCAATATATACAATCTGCAATAATTCTATGTGACGGGTGATGGTTCATATTTTTTAGGTGTACTAGTCTAAGACTAATTATAAGTGCTGTGTCAATTATTTCTTGGTAAAAGGCACTAGATATAGGGTGCGGCAAACAGGAACATCATTATTGTGGCTTTTATATTACCAGCAACCCAGTGCCACAGGAGGCGATTTAGATGAGGAACCACTAGGGCCGGGCTGGGCAATGGGTATGGCGCCAAACGGTCGTGTCTTTTTCATTGATCACAACACCATGAAAACCACATGGGTAAGTAATGCAGTGGTAAACAGATTATAGCAAAGAAGAATTAAAACAACTACAGTTTGTGAGAGTTTGACTAAAGAAGACACTAACCACATTTTAAAATTCAATTTTCTAATAATTCATTCACGATCAAAATGAAAATGATGAATTTAAAACATTACTAATTGTGTCAATCTTCTCTTAAATAGACCAAAGTCAATTTTGTGGGAAAAGTTTTGTACTAAGATTATTTAGATTCTCAATGTTGGAGATAGTGACAACGATGTGGTGGTCATAACATTGAACTCATAGAGGCTGTATCTGGACTACTAGCTGTAAATGTTGTTATAGCATTGTATCTAGACTGCTAGCTGTAAATGTTGTTATAGACGTTGTATCTGGACTGCTAGCTGTAAATGTTGTCATAGACGTTGTAACTGGACTGCTAGCTGTAAATGTTGTTATAGACGTTGTATCTGGACTGCTAGCTGTAAATGTTGTCATAGACGTTGTATCTGGACTGCTAGCTGTAAATGTTGTCATAGACGTTGTATCTGGACTGCTAGCTGTAAATGTTGTCATAGACGTTGTATCTGGACTGCTAGCTGTAAATGTTGTCATAGACGTTGTATCTGGACTGCTAGCTGTAAATGTTGTCATAGACGTTGTATCTGGACTGCTAGCTGTAAATGTTGTCATAGACGTTGTATCTGGACTGCTAGCTGTAAATGTTGTCATAGACGTTGTATCTGGACTGCTAGCTGTAAATGTTGTCATAGACGTTGTATCTGGACTGCTAGCTGTAAATGTTGTCATAGATGTTGTATCTGGACTGCTAGCTGTAAATGTTGTCATAGACGTTGTATCTGGACTGCTAGCTGTAAATGTTGTCATAGACGTTGTATCTGGACTGCTAGCTGTAAATGTTGTCATAGACGTTGTATCTGGACTGCTAGCTGTAAATGTTGTCATAGACGTTGTATCTGGACTGCTAGCTGTAAATGTTGTCATAGACGTTGTATCTAGACGTTGTATCTGGACTGCTAGCTGTAAATGTTGTCATAGACGTTGTATCTGGACTGCTAGCTGTAAATGTTGTCATAGACGTTGTATCTGGACTACTAGCTGTAAATGTTGTTATAGACGTTGTAACTGGACTGCTAGCTGTAAATGTTGTTATAGACATTGTATCTGGACTGCTAGCTGTAAATGTTGTCATAGACGTTGTATCTGGACTGCTAGCTGTAAATGTTGTCATAGACGTTGTATCTGGACTGCTAGCTGTAAATGTTGTCATAGACGTTGTATCTGGACTGCTAGCTGTAAATGTTGTCATAGACGTTGTATCTGGACTGCTAGCTGTAAATGTTGTTATAGACATAGACATGTATCTGGACTGCTAGCTGTAAATGTTGTCATAGACGTTGTATCTGGACTGCTAGCTGTAAATGTTGTCATAGACGTTGTATCTGGACTGCTAGCTGTAAATGTTGTCATAGACGTTGTATCTGGACTGCTAGCTGTAAATGTTGTTATAGACGTTGTATCTGGACTGCTAGCTGTAAATGTTGTCATAGACATTGTATCTGGACTGCTAGCTGTAAATGTTGTTATAAATGTTGTTATAGACGTTGTATCTGGACTGCTAGCTGTAAATGTTGTTATAGACGTTGTAACTGGACTGCTAGCTGTAAATGTTGTTATAAATGTTGTTATAGACGTTGTATCTGGACTGCTAGCTGTAAATGTTGTTATAGACGTTGTATCTGGACTGCTAGCTGTAAATGTTGTCATAGAAATGTTGTATAGACATTGTATCTGACTGCTAGCTGTAAATGTTGTTATTGTTGTTATAGACATAGAAATGTTGTTATAAATGTTGTTATAGACGTTGTATCTGGACTGCTAGCTGTAAATGTTGTTATAGACGTTGTATCTGGACTGCTAGCTGTAAATGTTGTTGTAGAGGTTGTATCTGGACTGCTAGCTGTAAATGTTGTTATAGAGGTTGTAACTGGACTGCTAGCTGTAAATGTTGTTATAGATGTTGTATCTGGACTGCTAGCTGTAAATGTTATTATTGTTGTTCTACTAGTTTTGTTGTCTCAGCTACATCTAGTAATGATTCTGTGGTAGCAGATCTGTGACTTCCTTGTCTAACTGTCACCTTGACCTTTAGGAGGATCCTAGAAAAGCCACGACTAGGACTGCCAGTATGAGAAGTCAGCACGGAGATATGCCAAATGTAGTCACCAGGGCGTCCTCAAATGAAGACCTTCTTGTAAATTTGGGGCCATTACCTGTAAGTAACGAATCACTACTAGTTGAGTTTAGTTTACATGATGGATTACCAGTAAATATTTAACAAGTATTGCAAGACACTAAGGAATGTTTACATATTTTGGATGACTGACTAGTCCACAAACTTCCATATCGCTGAAGAAACCTGCATTATTTGTCCCATTTACCATACAAATAGCCCTTTTATTACACCATATTAGTACCTCAGGATTGAGATGAAAACAATCCACTTTTTCAACATGAAGAATTCAAAGTTGATTGACCCTTTTGTGACACTTTCCAATGTTTTCGGAGTTGACATTTCCCTGTGGTGTTTAAAGTGTGTTTTTACGATTCACTAGACGAAGCATAGGTGGGAAATTTTGTAAACAAAAGCAATTTTAAAAAGATTGATATATTAGATAAGGGCGGAGGAACACGATGATCACTCCGTAATGGTATAAACACCAATAGCAGTATTATAAATTTTGGACAGTTAGTAGTAATAATTATGATTATCATTGGTTTTACAGAACGTAAACATAGTTTATAGCATCCTTTTTGTTTTCTTAATTTCATGACATATTTATGTCAGATTCTAAAGAACCTGTGGAATGGATTGAGGTACTGGCAGTAAAAGTTTAAAGAAGGCTAGAGGTTAGGCTATGTCAGTACTTTTTGAAGGGAAATCTAGGTGTAATTTTGTAAAATTATGGTGTAAGTGAGTGATAAGTTAATATCATATTGCATTACTGTCAGACAGATGCATCAAAATGTAGAAACAGCTGTATTGCTCTGCAGATACAATAAGTTAAGAGCTGAACATAAAGTAATGGAGAGGTACAAGGTCTTAGGGCATTAGCTACCTGGAATCCTTGGAACTGTGCTTCAGCTACAATGTCATTTTATAACAGTGCCAGCTATATAATCAATCATAATTTGAAAAAAAAGTTTAGTGAGTTTATACTTATTGATGTCAAAGTCAAAATTTAAATAGAAATTGAAAAAAAAGATGATTTTTCAATAAGACTGAAAAATATAAAAGAAAACATGGAGATAGTTTTCCAATAAAAAAAAGACCAGGTTCACAATGTATGGATATATAAATCTGAGAATTTTCAGTATCTTCTGGTAAAGATTTTTTTGCTGGTAGGAACAAAATATGTTCACAGCATATTTCACCACATGCTTGATATTTACTTGGTACACAGCATATTTCACCACATGCTTGATATTTACTTGGTATCAGTAATTGTAACCAGTTCTGTTTCATCCAAGGTGGCAAGTCATTCTTACGATTGACAAATAGATGAATGGAGATAATGGTATTATGACATCACAATATATCAAGTCAACTCATTGCCCTTGACTCAAGGCATTGTATACTAAAATGTTGACTGAGGCAACTACAAGAATTAAATTGACAATAAAATGAATGAGGTAAAATATTGCTATATTGGATCTGTTACCAATACTATTATCTAGGTCATTTTGAACCCATTACCAATGTCTTGATGTCAGTAAATATTGCTGTATTGAACCTCAATCTTGATGTCAGTAAATATTGCTGTATTGGTCCTCGATCTTGATGTCAGTAAATATTGCTGTATTGGACATCGATCTTGATGTCCGTAAATATTGCTGTAGTGGACCTCAATCTTGATGTCAGTAAATATTGCTGTATTGGACCTCGATCTTGATGTCAATAAATATTGCTGTATTGGTCCTCGATCTTGATGTCAATAAATATTGCTGTATTGGACCTCGATCTTGATGTCAGTAAACATTGCTGTATTGGACCTCGATCTTGATGTCAGTAAACATTGCTGTATTGGTCCTCGATCTTGATGTCAATAAATATTGCTGTATTGGACCTCGATCTTGATGTCAGTAAACATTGCTGTATTGGTCCTCGATCTTGATGTCAGTAATAGTCAGTTGGAAGATTAAGACTCAACCCTAGTTGTTGCTAAAAATGTTGAGTTAGTTTAACTTGGTGACTGGTACATACTGAAATATTGTACCTTCAAAACTTTATCAATCAGATGTATTTGTCAAACTAAACACTGTAAATCTTTCTTTTTGATTGCATATCAATAAGATATATTTGTCAAACTAAAGCACTGTTAATCTTTCTTTTTGATTGCATATCAATTAGATATATTTGTCAAACTAAAGTACTGTTAATCTTTCTTTTTGATTGCATATCAATTAGATATATTTGTCAAACTAAAGCACTGTTAATCTTTCTTTTTGATTGCATATCAATTAGATATATTTGTCAAACTAAAGCACTGTTAATCTTTCTTTTTGATTGCATATCAATTAGATATATTTGTCAAACTAAAGCACTGTTAATCTTTCTTTTTGATTGCATATCAATTAGATATATTTGTCAAACTAAAGCACTGTTAATCTTTCTTTTTGATTTCAGGCTGGATGGGAAGAGAGAACCCACTCGGACGGCAGAGTATTCTACATAAATCACTGTAAGCTTCATTGGTAAACAAAACATATCTGACAAAAGTGTCAGAAAAAATAGGAAATTGTGAACTTTCTGAATTATGATCTTTAACAATCTAAATACATAATCTATTAAAAATGTCACTGTTATATCCTAACTCTTGATCTTTATTTCCTGAAAAGTTCCTTCTGATATATGTTTTTGTTTCCGCAGCAACCAAAACGACCCAATGGGAAGACCCTCGTCTACAGAAGTTAGGAGGACAGGTAAAAAGCTTCCTTTTTAAGAGACAGGTTTATTCTTGTATGAAGTCATGATTTGTGTGGACTTTGGTTAGCCATAGTGATCAAAGTGTTTTTAACTTAAAAAATTTTCATTGATCTGTTATTTATTTCAATTCAATTCAACAGACCCGAGGGTCCAATTACAGAATTGATAACAATGGAAACAAAGTTATATTAAAATATCACAGAGGGTTAAGGGTTGGATAATATTTCAAATTCGTGATGCACAATATTGCAAACTTTGAAAGTGGATTATTAAACTGATAACAAGGTGATTATTAAAGCCATTTACTTACAATGATTAATTTGATAGTGTATAATGACTAAAAATTCATTAAGATTGTTTTACATCATTTTGACCGAAAGTCCGAGGGGATGCATCAATACAGTCCTGATATGTCTCTGTAGTATTACGCTGACAAGACATTCTGATTTTTCAGGCTGTGCCGTATTCTAGGGATTACAAGAGAAAATATGATTACTTCAGATCAAAGTTACGGAAACCTGTGAGTATTCATTGTCTTGGCCAACATGAATCATAAAACCTTTATTATTAAGTGGATTTTTACTGGGTACCACAAATTTACTTCTATAATGTTTTTGATTTGGTACGTCAATTTTGATAAAGATATTGGATAGAAAAATTGTCATATTATAAAGAAAGAACATGTAGATATTGTATTTATCATTATTGAAAGTTTGATTCAATGTTGGTATCTTGTGTTTCAGCAAAATGTGCCGAATAAAGTTGATATTAAGATTAGTAGAGACAACATATTTGAAGATTCTTACCGCGCCATCATGAGTGTAAAAAAGCCAGATATTTTGAAAACCAGGTGAGATGATTGTTGTTGTGTATTTGTAAAACTTTTTTGTCTACATAGCACATAGCAAATCGTATGGATTATGTATTTGTGACTAGACCATACATCTTGTCGCTTTCATTAGGCAACTCATCTATATGCTACCTAGCCAGGAAATATTTCACAATAAATAATTAGTTTCCTACTATTGTGTGGTACTGCCAAACAGACTTATTATGCTAAATGTAACAGAGTTACAGTTTTAGACTTTTGTCACAGCCTTTGAACCTAGCTGTTACTACCAATCCAAGCTTTCTGATTGATGAAAGAATTCTGATTTACCAGTGACCCCTAGCAGCAGTCATATGCTATAAACATTGCTGCCATCTTTCAAAACAGTGTCAAGCATGCATACTGTCGCTACAGAAACCATCAATAATCATACTAAAAACTTATCAAAATTGACAGGTGTTCATGAAAATATTTAGAGCTTTGTGTCAATCACACAATAGCATTGCTCTGGTTTGCAAAGGGTTCTCTGAGTTGAGACAATATGGAAGAAATCACAAAATCATGAGATCATCGACATGTATTCTTACAGGTCTATCTAAAAGTTGGCAACAAATGATTATCAGCAACATCAAGAGTTGTAATGATTTAGAAATATATCTTAAAATAATCAAGTTTTATGTTAATGTTTGTAAAATTGATTGAGTAATGAGGAGTACAATGTTCTGTGATCTTCAATTATATAGCTTAAAATATCAAAAAGTGACATCAATAGATATCTACTTAATACGATTATAATGCATTGATATACAAAGTTTTAGTTTTATTTATGAAAAAATGGCCAAGTTATGATGATTTTACTCCAATGAGAATGACAGCTTGGCACACATGTGTAGACCATAGGTAATTGTGATGTGTTTTCAGACACTGTGGCCTAAAATGCTCAAAGAAGTTACTGACGTCAAAACATGTTATGAATATGACTATAATTCAGGTTCATTATCCAGTAGCAATATCTTGATTTGGGACTGAATTATTTCCTTGAATTGTGCATTTTGCACAAATTTCACTGATTTCAAGGAAATTGTATTCAAAATTTCAAATTTGGCCATTGATAGTCGTTTTCTATTAAAGCGTTGTTTTGCATGTGTTAGCTTATATCTCACAATAAAAGTCCAAAATAAATATGTTATCAACAGGTTTAGCCTTTCAGTCAGTACTTTATCAAAGTTATGAAAGTTTCACTCCATTTGTCTATGCATTATTGGTTGGGGAAATTATTGACAGATTGGTTGAGAAAAGCGTCTACTTTCACCAGTAAAACAGGTGTTAAGCAGACCTTGTGGGGTTCCACCTCTTATAAGTCTACAGTCCTGCATGTCCCTGGACATTGTCAGAGTTGTCGCAGATCTCTGAAATGGATGAAAGGACAGAAACATTTTGTGTGTTTATTTTATATGGGAGTATCTCTTGTTAATGGCAGGTGTCTTATACTCCAATGTAAGTCTCTTGTTAATGGCAGGGCTTATACTCCAATGTAAGTCTCTTGTTAAAGGCAGGTGTCTTATACTCCAATGTAAGTCTCTTGTTAATGGCAGGGCTTATACTCCAATGTAAGTCTCTTGTTAATGGCAGGGCTTATACTCCAATGTAAGTCTCTTGTTAAAGGCAGGTGTCTTATACTCCAATGTAAGTCTCTTGTTAATTGGCAGGGCTTATACTCCAATGTAAGTCTCTTGTTAATGGCAGGGCTTATACTCCAATGTAAGTCTCTTGTTAATGGCAGGGCTTATACTCCAATGTAAGTCTCTTGTTAAAGGCAGGTGTCTTATACTCCAATGTAAGTCTCTTGTTAATGGCAAGGCTTATACTCCAATGTAAGTCTCTTGTTAATGGCAGGGCTTATACTCCAATGTAAGTCTCTTGTTAATGGCAGGGCTTATACTCCAATACAAGTCTCTTGTTGCATTATATAATACCCTTCCACAGCATTGTCAAAGGTATATCCAATATATCTTTGAGTCTTGATAAAAATTTTGTATGTTAGGACACTCTAATTTCAATTGATTGTGGTTGTCTGTTATAAAATTGAATATCATTTTTTATTTGTAAATCTTGTTATACATTTACTGGTTACAGATTATGGATCGAATTTGATGGTGACACAGGTCTTGATTACGGTGGTGTGGCTCGTGAATGGTTCTACCTCCTTTCTAAGGAAATGTTTAATCCGTTTTATGGCCTTTTTGAGTATTCAGCCACGTAAGTACACAAATATTCATCATATTCAAATTTTTAGGTTACTTGAGACAAGGTTTCATTGTGACTTAATACAATAGCCTATTGTGTAGCGTCTCAGGGGGGCTGATGGGTGGAGCCAAAAAGGGTCAAATTGATTGAAATTTCAAAGTTATTCTCAGTAACTAAATATTGTAGAATGAAATGCTCTTCATGGATGGAAAGGTCTTTAGGTGCTTTACCAAAATTGTGAATTTCATGACCTTTAGGTCTCACATTTTCTCCTGAGGAAGAAGTCAAGTTTACTATAGTTTATACAAAAAATGACATTTTTGATCATAATATGTATATTTTTTTAATGGAAATGGGTCAACTTGGTTAGAATTGTAAGTATAGAATGACAGTTCATTGTCTTGCACATATTGACCCTGGCTGACCTCCAGGGCCAGATACCCGACTCTACGATGTACCTTTGTACCTTTTCAAATATAATGATATTATCATCTTGAGACAGGTTTGGGTCACCATAAATGAGTAATTCTAGTGATAAATTGAAATTTAATGTATCTAGGGTATTTTCTCTAGCTCGATTATAGCGTACACACTGCATTAGATAATGATAAGGAGTTTCAACCTGCCCACATACACATAGATCTGTATCTGAAACATGATTATTACAGAGATAATTTAGAGAACTACATCCAAGACGAAGACGTGTGTGCAGTACCTGAGCCCAGCGTTCACCAACAAAGTAGTATAGAGGTTTAATAATTTGTTTATCGAGGTGTTTTTTGAAAGTGTTCAAAGTTGGAGAGTTTCTTATGTTATTTGGTATGCCATTCCATTCCCTGATAGCAGTAGGTAAAAAAGAGTTCATATAGATATTTGTCCTACTTGCTGGCAGATGCATATTTGAATTGGTCCATAATTTTTGGCATTTCCTATCCTAGAAGGAAGCAAATTTTGTAAGTATAATGGTGCAGCACCATGAAATATTTTGTATGAAGTTAATATTCTATGCTTGTAACGCCTATGTGCCAAAGTTTCCCATCCTGTTTCAAGCATAATGGAATTGGATGAAGCAGATTTGGTTGCTCCAGTCACGATTCTGCCAGCTTCAGTATGAAGTTTCTCAAGTTCTTGGCAATCTTGTTGGGTACAGTTAGCCCAGATTATATCAGCATATTCCAAGATGGGACGTATGTAACAAAAATACATAATTTCTAGAGATTTCCTATCTAACTTAAACCTTAACTCTCTAAGAATATCTAGCCTTTTCCATGCCTTAGCAAGGATATTAGTAATGTGGGCATGCCAAGAACAATTTCCATCTATAGTTACACCTTGATGTATATGTTGCTGGACTTCTTGTATTTGGGTATTATTCATAAATAAGGGAGGGTGAGCTGTAGCAGTCCTCTTTTTAGTTAGGACCATTCTTTCAGTTTTGTTGGGGTTGAAATTAACTAACCACTGCTTGGCCCAGGTACTAATTTTGTTTAGGTCAGAATTTAAAATAGTCCCTGCACTTTCAGGATTTTCAACGATCATGAAAAGTGATGTATCATCTGATAAAAGCCGAATATGAGCATCAATATTATTTATGTCATTTATAAAAACAATGAAAAGAAGTGGACCTAATATTGAGCCCTGTGGAACCCCAGCATGTAGTTCCTTAGTAGTTGAAGAACTTCCTTCAATAATTACCTGCTGGCTTCGATCCTGGAGGTAGCTCCCAAACCATTCTAAAAAATTACCAGATATTCCATTTTGTTTTAGCTTAAACAACAAACCCTTATGCCACACTCTGTCTAAGGCTTTACTTATGTCACAGAAAACAACACGAACCTCTTTTCCACTATCAACAGCCTGATAGAAAGTATATGTTATATCAGTTAATTGACAAACAGACGAGTCATTCGGAGTAAAACCAGACTGGTAAGAAGTAATACATTCATTCAAATGTAGGAAATTATACAAATGTTTGAAAACACACTTTTCAAATACTTTACCAATACAACTAATGAGTGAAATAGGTCGATAATTTGAAACAAGTGATTTATCTCCCTGTTTATAAACTGGAATCACATTAGCAATCTTCCAGGCTGATGGAAATTTTTTCTTAGACAGTGATGCATTAAACAAACAAGACAATGGTATTGATAACTCATGACCTGCTTCTTTAAGTAATTTGGACTAACCAAATCTGGACCGCTAGTTTTATTTGTATTGATAACTCTGAGTGCATCTTCTACATCTCCAGGTGAGATATATAAATTCAAATGGCATTGTTTTCATTTGTGAGTTTCTAGACTGCTTTATCATTTTTAAAATGTCAAGTCAAAATAATTCTAGTTTTGTCGTCATAATTCTGTGCAGAACCTCTGAGTACAGGACATAGCTATGTATCTGTTTAGCACTTTTAGAAATAAATAATAAAAGAAAATGGAGACTGTGTCAGGTATGTTATTTGTCCTGTGATAACAATGAGTATTTAGTTCCTCTCTTAATGATAACAATGAGTATTTGGTGCCTCTCTTAATGATAACAATGAGTATTTAGTTCCTCTCTTAATGATAACAGTGAGTATTTGGTGCCTCTCTTAATGATAACAGTGACCTTGGGACATGTTTTTTTTTTTTTTTATTTCTTCAGTTATGTTTTGTAATGGAATAATTATTCATTTAAGACTGATTTGATATAATTTTGTGTGTTAGACCCAAACAACCTTAAGAGTGTTATATAATTTTGTGTGTTAGACCCAAACAACCTTAAGAGTGTTATATAATTTTGTGTGTTAGACCCAAACAACCTTAAGAGTGTTATATGATTTTGTGTTTTAGACCCCAACAACCTTAAGAGTGTTATATAATTTTGTGTGTTAGACCCAAACAACCTTAAGAGTGTTATATAATTTTGTGTGTTAGACCCAAACAACCTTAAGAGTGTTATATAATTTTGTGTGTTAGACCCAAACAACCTTAAGAGTGTTATATAATTTTGTGTGTTAGACCCAAACAACCTTAAGAGTGTTATGTAATTTTGTGTGTTAGATCCAAACAACCTTAAGAGTGTTATCTAATTTTGTGTGTTAGACCCAAACAACCTTAAGAGTGTTATGTAATTTTGTGTTTTAGACCCAAACAACCTTAAGAGTGTTATGTAATTTTGTGTGTTAGACCCAAACAACCTTAAGAGTGTTATATAATTTTGTGTTTTAGACCCAAACAACCTTAAGAGTGTTATATAATTTTGTGTGTTAGACCCAAACAACCTTAAGAGTGTTATGTAATTTTGTGTGTTAGACCCAAACAACCTTAAGAGTGTTATGTAATTTTGTGTGTTAGACCCAAACAACCTTAAGAGTGTTATGTAATTTTGTGTGTTAGACCCAAACAACCTTAAGAGTGTTATGTAATTTTGTGTGTTAGACCCAAACAACCTTAAGAGTGTTATGTAATTTTGTGTGTTAGACCCAAACAACCTTAAAAGTGTTATGTAATTTTGTGTGTTAGACCCAAACAACCTTAAGAGTGTTATGTAATTTTGTGTGTTAGACCCAAACAACCTTAAGAGTGTTATGTAATTTTGTGTGTTAGACCCAAACAACCTTAAGAGTGTTATGTAATTTTGTGTGTTAGACCCAAACAACCTTAAGAGTGTTATATAATTTTGTGTGTTAGACCCAAACAACCTTAAGAGTGTTATATAATTTTGTGTGTTAGACCCAAACAACCTTAAGAGTGTTATGTAATTTTGTGTGTTAGATCCAAACAACCTTAAGAGTGTTATGTAATTTTGTGTGTTAGACCCAAACAACCTTAAGAGTGTTATGTAATTTTGTGTTTTAGACCCAAACAACCTTAAGAGTGTTATGTAATTTTGTGTGTTAGACCCAAACAACCTTAAGAGTGTTATATAATTTTGTGTTTTAGACCCAAACAACCTTAAGAGTGTTATATAATTTTGTGTGTTAGACCCAAACAACCTTAAGAGTGTTATGTAATTTTGTGTGTTAGACCCAAACAACCTTAAGAGTGTTATGTAATTTTGTGTGTTAGACCCAAACAACCTTAAGAGTGTTATGTAATTTTGTGTGTTAGACCCAAACAACCTTAAGAGTGTTATGTAATTTTGTGTGTTAGACCCAAACAACCTTAAGAGTGTTATGTAATTTTGTGTGTTAGACCCAAACAACCTTAAGAGTGTTATGTAATTTTGTGTGTTAGACCCAAACAACCTTAAAAGTGTTATGTAATTTTGTGTGTTAGACCCAAACAACCTTAAGAGTGTTATGTAATTTTGTGTGTTAGACCCAAACAACCTTAAGAGTGTTATGTAATTTTGTGTGTTAGACCCAAACAACCTTAAGAGTGTTATGTAATTTTGTGTGTTAGACCCAAACAACCTTAAGAGTGTTATGTAATTTTGTGTGTTAGACCCAAACAACCTTAAGAGTGTTATGTAATTTTGTGTTTTAGACCCAAAAAACCTTAAGAGTGTTATGTAATTTTGTGTGTTAGACCCAAACAACCTTAAGAGTGTTATATAACTTTGTGTGTTAGACCCAAACAACCTTAAGAGTGTTATATAATTTTGTGTGTTAGACCCAAAAAACCTTAAGAGTGTTATATAATTTTGTGTTTCAGAGACAACTATACACTACAGATCAATCCCTTGTCAGGTCTTGCCAATGATGACCACTTGTCCTATTTTGAGTTTATTGGCAGAATTGCTGGCATGGCGGTGTATCATGGAAAACTACTGGATGGTAAGATTGAAGCTGTTATATACCAAGCACAATTGCTTGTAGAGTTTAATATTTAAACATGGGCAGTGTAAAGCTAATTATTATAATTTTGCTATGCTTCCTTGAAATTTTCCCCTTTGAGTATATTGTAGCTGATTTGTCCGTCCAACTGTCTTTCTGTCTGTCTGTTTGTGTTTGGAGCATAATTTTGCCCATACTTAAGCAAGGATCATGAAACTTGATCTATATGTTAATCATACTAAAATGATGTGCAGTGTACCAAATTCAAGGCCTGCAATCCTCCATTACAGAGTTATTGCCCTTTTTTACAATCTTGTGTTCTGGAGCATAACTTTTCTTGCATTTAAACTTAGGTAATGACACTTTGTGTAAACTTTGGTCACACTAAGACAATATGCAATATACCAAATTTATGGCTTGCAACCTCTTGATTACAGAGTTATTACCCTTTGATAAGAATTCATGTCTATAACATAAACTTGCAACTAGGATAAAGAAACTTGGTCATACTAAGGAGTATAGTGTACCAAATTTAGCACCTGATACCCCTTCCTCACAGAATTATTACTGTTTTTTTTTTTTATTTTTATGTCCAATAAAGTTGTTTTGAAGAGCATTCATCAATTTTAAATGGTATCTTATGTTCACACATTGGTATCACATCATCAAGTTCGTGTAAATGGTATCTTATATTCTCACCTTAGTATCACATCATCAAGTTCATGTAAATGGTGTCTTATGTTCTCACCTTGGTATCACATCATCAAGTTCATGTAAATGGTGTCTTATGTTCTCACCTTGGTATCACATCATCAAGTTCATGTAAATGGTGTCTTATGTTTATACCTTGGTATCACATCATCAAGTTCATGTAAATGGTGTCTTATGTTTATACCTTGGTATCACATCATCAAGTTCATGTAAATGGTGTCTTATGTTTATACCTTGGTATCACATCATCAAGTTCATGTAAATGTTGTCTTATGTTTATACTTTGGTATCACATCATCAAGTTCATGTAAATGGTGTCTTATGTTTATACCTTGGTATCACATCATCAAGTTCATGTAAATGGTGTCTTATGTTTATACCTTGGTATCACATCATCAAGTTCATGTAAATTATGTCTTATGTTCTCACCTTGGTATCACATCATCAAGTTCATGTAAATGGTGTCTTATGTTTATACCTTGGTATCACATCATCAAGTTCCTGTATAGAACATATCATTGTTCTTCTTTTCTCCCTTCTATAATTGATAATTGATCAGTTTTTGCAGCTAGATATCTTGTATATCTTATGACATGTGTATAACAATATGACTAATAAGTCTCAGGTGTACAGCAGTATGTCTGCTGTTTTCTACTGTCAAGTGATGGCAAGCATCTCAGCTCTCTTTCTGTGTTCTAGGATTCTTCATTCGTCCATTTTACAAGATGATGTTGGGAAAAAGCATGCTTCTGCAGGATATGGAGCCAGTTGTAAGTCTTCATCTTCTCATTTTTGTCTTTAGGGTTTTTTTTTTTTACAAAACTTTGATACATTGGAATTCCATGGAAATCATACAATGGTCTTATGTCTTTTAAATTATGCATGCTTAATAAAAAAAAATTTTTTAAACTTGTAATGTTGTTAATAATAATCTTAGTAATAGCAGTAGATCTTCCTGCTATGATAACAGATAACAAGCATGTCACATTTTATTTGTTTGTGGTTCATGTTCATATGAGGGACACATTGTCTAAAGGTGAGGTCAGTTACATTTCACATTGAATGTATTTGACCTTCATGTTGTTTACAACAACAGGACTCCGAATATTTCAACTCGCTGTGCTGGATACGGGACAATGACCCTATTGACCTTGATCTGACCTTCAGTGTGGAAGAGGACTACTTTGGAGAGGTGAGGCAACTGCTGGCAGTGATCATAAATTGCTATTGGTGTTTAATAACAATTAATTTCTTCTTTTGATTTAACAGATATGTCTGTCATTCCTCATCAACTTTTTCTATAGATCTTTACTAGTAATGAATGACAGTGTAGATTTTAACCTAAGTTGGTCTGAAGCATTCTTGGTAGGAAAAGTATTTTTGTATAAATGGAGTCTTAGGGGCACTTCCAAATGGGGAAAATCTATTGTTTCTTTTCTAAAAAGAAAAAAAAAGAAAACCATATAAGGGAGAATTGATTCTCAATAAATTATTAATAGGTAAATATAAATAAATTTGTAATGGTGAGTAAAGTAAACCCATGAAAACCTTTGATATGTATGGAGACTGGTATGTTTTTATGTTTCATGTGTAACACAAATTCTTGATCTTTCAGATAACTGAACGGGAACTTAAAGCAGATGGAAAAAACATTGTGGTTACGAATGATAACAAGATGGAGTATATAAAGTAAGAACTATTGAGTTGAAATAGTGATAACGAGATGAATTATATAAAATAAGGACTGTTAAGTTAGAATAATGATACGTTATTGATTAACATTGCTTTATATTTCTTGCCGTGGCAGATATTTATTTTGTGTGATCTTTAATGGCTGTGAGCATAGCAAATTTAAATCCCCCATCAAGATAATAAACTGTATGGTAACAAAAGAAATCCTATTTTAACTATTGGATTCACTGCGTGTTACAGCTTGGTGATCAACTGGAGGTTTGTCTCCCGAGTGTATAACCAGATGACAGCCTTCAGGAAGGGCTTCAATGCTCTAGTTCCCCAGACACTACTGCAGATATTTGATGAGAATGAGCTGGAGTTGTTGATGTGTGGGCTACAGGACATTGATGTAAATGACTGGAAAAACAACACTGCCTACAAAGGAGAATACAATCCTAACCACCCAGTTATTATCTCCTTCTGGAAGGTAACTTGTCATGTTCTCTTCACAAGCAAAACACTAGAACTGATATCATCAGTTTGATTACAGCTTCAGTAAAAAATTGAAATAAAAAGTGGATTGATTTCTTGTTATTTGAAATTTACCATATATAATGTTGTTTTGAATTTTGTACTTTCAGGCAGTGTACTCGGTGAATAATGAGATGCGGTCCCGATTGCTCCAGTTTGTTACAGGAACATCTCGCGTTCCAATGAATGGTTTTAGGGAACTGTATGGTAGCAATGGTCCTCAACTGTTCACCATAGAAAAATGGGGCACCACCAAGAAGTTGCCACGAGCTCACACCTGGTACTGTAGCATTTATTTCGAACTTCATTGTTGGTGCTGGATAAAATTACTTTCATAAAAATCTTTAATGTTTGGTTTCTGATAAACTGTGAACCCTTTTGTTTATGGTAAAAGTAAAGAACCAGGAAGTTGCTATCTTCCTTAGTGAATAATTGCATGTAGCTTTAAGGAACGACACCAGTAACACCTGGCCAGACAATTCTCTCCTAGTACATGTGTAATATATCACTGTCAGTAAGGAACGACACCAGTAACACCTGGTCAGACAATTCTCTCCTAGTACATGTGTAATATATCACTGTCAGTAAGGAACGACACCAGTAACACCTGGTCAGACAATTCTCTCCTACCTGTCAGAACGACACCAGTAACACCTGGTCAGACAATTCTGTCCTAGTACATTCTATATCACTGTCAGTACATGTGTAATATATGTGTAATATATCACTGTCAGTAAGGATCGACACCAGTAACACCTGGTCAGACAATTCTCTCCTAGTACATGTGTAATATATCACTGTCAGTAAGGAACTAACACCTGGTCAGACAATTCTCTCCTAGTACATGTGTAATATATCACTGTCAGTAAGGAACGACACCAGTAACACCTGGTCAGACAATTCTCTCCTAGTACATGTGTAATATATCACTGTCAGTAAGGAACGACACCAGTAACACCTGGTCAGACAATTCTCTCCTAGTACATGTGTAATATATCACTGTCAGTAAGGAACGACACCAGTAACACCTGGTCAGACAATTCTCTCCTAGTACATGTGTAATATATCACTGTCAGTAAGGAACGACACCAGTAACACCTGGTCAGACAATTCTCTCCTAGTACATGTGTAATATATCACTGTCAGTAAGGAACGACACCAGTAACACCTGGTCAGACAATTCTCTCCTAGTACATGTGTAATATATCACTGTCAGTAAGGAACGACACCAGTAACACCTGGTCAGACAATTCTCTCCTAGTACATGTGTAATATATCACTGTCAGTAAGGAACGACACCAGTAACACCTGGCCAGACAATTGTCTTTTAGTAACAGTAAATAACAAACATGGAGTGGAAGACAGATATGTTTATAACTACATACAACAGTATCTCTTTTATTCTGTATTGACTATATCATGACTACCTTCCAAAGTTTCAGAAAAATCAATCATTTGAGTGAAAATTCAAAATCTGGCATTAAAGTGTTTAACTTATGTAACAAGCCTTTGGTTCTCTTGTGGTGACATATGAACCTTAGTCTAAGTGTTGCTCATAATACATACACTTCTACACACTTACATGCATTCACACATATACAAACACACATCATGAATACATGTACACACATTTTAGAGAAGGGAGGAGATAGGTATTGCAATGGAAGGAAGGTAAATAGAATGAAGAGAAAAGACCAGAGAGGCACAGTTTCATGGTATATAAATATGAAAGTGGGTGAAATAGTGAGCTAATCCGGCAAAACCAAGGTTAAAATGATGATGAAAAAGTATTCAAAGTTGCTAACTAGAATCAAAATCATAAATTAGTAGTATTCATATAAGGGTTATTAATAATGCTAATATCTATTATAATCAAAAATCATTTGTAGGTGATTGTAATATTTCCTCTACCATTGCAGCTTCAACAGACTTGATCTTCCACCTTACGACAACTACGAGGACCTGAGGAAAAAACTTCTGTTAGCCGTTGAAAACACAGAAGGATTTGAAGGCGTTGACTAAATAGGTGTGATAATAATTGAGAAACCATGACTTCAGCAGACAACTGCTTGCTCCTGAGCTTACCCTTGAGTCTCTGGATTTGTCAGATACTGAAACTCTCAAAAATGTCAGCAATTTGAGGATTTCAAATGGAAGCAGTCCTGTTACAGAGAAAATGGTCAGTTAGCAAACTGATGCTGCCCTCGTCAGTTGGATTTGACCAAGTTGACATGCTTTTTACACATGCAGGTTTTTTGTGCAGGCAAAAGTTAGATGATGCTAGGAAGAATGAAACCTAAGGCATCAAAGCCAAATATTCAACAAAGAGGACAGATTTTAAACTAGGATAAAGTTTGTATAAAATTATCATATCAATATGTTAGTTACTATTCTGTATGTTTATAAAGGACTACTTCAACTCTGTTATTTTTTGAGAGAAAACTTTATTTCATAGTGTCCAGTAGCAAAATTATTTAATACAAAGATACTGTACATCTATAGAACTTGGCACAATTAAATTCCATCCACAGTGATTATTATACAAACGTATAGAATCAAATTGGTGCAATCATATTATAGCGCAAAGATTCCAGAATGAAAAGTGCAAAAATAAAATTACTTCTAAAATATGTATGTGTTCAGTGGATGAGAATGTTTGTTTATCATTCCTGTGTAAGTCGATACATAGAAACAGCTAGAATACTAGACTTCACACATGTTATTTGTAAGTGGTATGCAGTCATACAGCAGGTAGTTTGTATGATTTAAGGTACAATACCCTGATGCATCACAAGATACAGAGGGAAGGGGGTGGGGTTGTTCACACTGCATCTGTGTTATTGCGGATCCAGATATTTTTGTTTCATGTGATAAATGAAGTTTTTTTTTAATGAAAAAATTGCTTTAACTTGCCAAACTTTTCATCTTAGGTACAAGTTGTAAAATGGATGATGCTGTTACTGTTTCCTGTTGTGATCAAACCAGTATTATTAGTACTGTTAAGAACTTTACATCTTGTGAGGCATTTCATCATTTGTAAAATTAGTTTTTCTTGTATTGATTAGAAAAAAAAATTGTTTTATGAAACATGTTTCATTGGTATTTTGTTTTAGAAGTCAATATCATCATTCATTGGGTATTTTTTCAACTTTGTAAAAACTCATATTGATGACAAGAACTTAATAAAGATATGAAATTAGGATGGGTGTACTAGAAGGAAGAAACCATATAATTGTTTTTAGTTTTTCAATCCAAAACCTTTCATGCTCTTGTGTTTTTGACAAGAATCTTACTGCTATAGAATATATCATATCAGTCAAATGACACAAATTATAGCATCCTCCAGGATCAGCTAATTCATGAATGAATTGTGAAGTAGTATATAGTAGCTACCCGAATGTTATAGTAGTAAGATATTCTCTACACCTACCACTTCCCATTGTATCCGATTCCATATCAGTGTCACATCTTGAGAACTGTTAGCACTTGACCACTATTGATTTGTATAATTTGATAGATGACTGTTAAATACACCAAAGAACCATGGTAAAGCGTTATTTTTTGTGTGTGTATTCTGCTCTTCAGTATCACTAGTCTGGGGACAAGACTGCTCAAGCTGTATCTTATGTTTAACTTTCTTGAGAAAATAATAAGTATACTGTTGATCACTACATTTAGTTACAAAGAGAAGGCCTCTTGATGTTGCACCTTTTTGTTACCCATCAACTGTGTTATAAGTTGTTGTGATGTACAACATAATCAGCTGCATGGGGTTTGTTGTATGGCCTTTGTTTTCTTGTGGGGGAAACCAGAAATTTGCTCAATAAATGAAAATTTTAAGACTTCCTGTGTCCATGTGATCAGTAGGTTTTCTGGTTTCACTGTTGTTATACAGGACTGGTTCATTGTAAGACATCCAAATCAAAGCATTAGTCTGACCATTGGTCAGCTAGAGGGTTGTGTCATTTTATCCTGATATTAACACTTATTTTGAATGTTTGTATTAACTACATACTCACTTTTGTACGATTGTCCGGAGGATTAATCCAAATCATGTAATGAAAAATGACTTATTGGATATCTATGATGGGTCTAGAGAAAAATGGTGTCCTAAACATTATTACTCATAGAATTGTGTTTTAATTGGGCATTTTTAGGGGAGACTTAAGCAATGAATATACTGTACACCTTAATTATATCATATTGGCCAACAAACCTGTTACAACTTTTTGTTATATTGAAGCAATCCTCGTATAGTATAGGATAGATTAATAGCCACAGTTCTAGGGTAAAGTCTACTATTACTAGGTCCATATCTAACTTGTTTTATCACATTTTGAAGAATGAACTAAACATGAATATTGTTTAAAATAAGATTGAAGTTTTACAGGGATGATTTTAAAATCAGTGTATAATTAACTTTTAGCATGGCATCATTGTTGAGATAAAACTGAGTAAGATCTCTATAACCTATATCTGATTGACTGTAACAGAAATAAACTAAGCCATTGTCTATGTTAGTGTAAATATGTGTATATATATTTCAAGATAATGGAAATGACTTAAATTTGAATATTCACAGACACAACAGGAATAAGGAATACAGGTCCCAGAAGCTAGCACATTTTAAATGTAGTTATACGACTTGTAAAATGAGAATATCTTCAGTAATTGGTGGCATGAATTGCTCCAGTCATAAATAAAACTGCTCCAACTTCAAATTGACTCTCATTGCATGAAATTTAGTGTCAAGGTATCTCTTCCTTAAGTCTTAGCATTCACAAAATTTTACTGACTAACTGAATGCAAGATTTTCCTGTCAATTAGGCTGTAATGATCAACGAAAACTGCCCTGGAAACTGCTTTATATCACAAGTTGTGTGATATTCATTTTAATTTGTAACGTCAATGATTGCAGGTAGATTCAATTCAAAATATTTATCTTGCTGTTTTGTTTTTTTTTTCTGTATGAAGGTGATCAGTAGAATTTGAAAATGCAAATCTTAAGGATGAATGGACAAAGTTATCCTTGTGATTTTTCTGTGTTTTATATAATATTGGCATTTAAAGTATATTGACATGCATCCTTAATGATTGGAAAATGTGCAAATAAGGCATGTGTAATGGAGATATGCCCTTTTTTGGCATGGATTATCAAGTTATAGTCTTATGTGTGATATAGATGTGTAATAGTACAGAAATTTGATGATGTACATTTATATTCCTAACATAGATAGGAAAGTCTTTCTCTTTTAGCTTAGAAGAAAAAGTCTTCTATGTAAACATTTATCGTCTTTTGTACAAATTTGTTATGTTTTTTAATTAGGAAATTGCATTTATAGATGATAATCACTCTCATAGCCATCTTGTCATTGATTGACTCACAAGTATCAATTATGCAGGAAAAATGCTGGAGTGTGGAGTACTTTTCTGGAGCAGATTTGATCAAAGCTTTTGTGTAGAGTATGGGAGGCAGTAATTGAGAGATGAGCGTGTAACCGAAGTGAATGTTTGAGGCTGATAATTGTAGACAAGATTAGTGTTGTACTATAATATACCTTGTTTTCCACTTAACTTATCTTTCTAATGGTGTAATATTTTGATTTCATTCTGAACTACTATTAGTACTTATAGTATGTCACCTCTGATTTCTTTATCAGGTGAAATTGCTAGTGATTCAAACTGTTGATAAATTATTGCATTGCATTGTGGTGGAAACATTCTTTTTAACATACAGTAATGTGGCAAGTAATATGATGTTCATTCCGTAGTGAGCCCATGAGCCCGATACATTACTTCTAACTAAAGCCAGGGGATGGATTTATTACAGGACAGTTAAATACCATAGGTTGATAATTTTAGTAACATTGATATACCAGGTACATGGATTGGCTTAAAGCAGGATAAATACAATAGTATAAAGTCACAAGTTTCAACAAACTCCTAATATTACATCAATTTAATTTGATGATCTAGAGTTTCAGTTCAGAATTTATTTCAAAATGATAAATGGTCATCTCTCTAGCTTACAAAGTGTTGATTTGTTATTTTGTAAAAAGAAATTGTAATTGAGCAAAAAAATCATTTATGTTGTTCACCTGATGTTTTTGTAGTAGCCTCAGATTTAACCAAGAAAGTGATATCTACTTTGTAATATTTACTGATATTTTGATGTTAGCGTATTACAGGGCCAGGTTTTTTAAGTCTTCTGTATGACTTGTAGATTTACTTTGGTGTGGCCAGGTATGTAGATGCCACAGGTTGTTTTTACATTGGTATGGATGTATACAGAAGTAAACTCGGTCAGTCTGTGATGGTTTCTGATGTGTTTAACTACATCACCTTCCATTTGTGAAACAAATCTGTGCAAAGAATATTTTGTGATGAATTATAAATTCTCATGACCTTTATATGTATCGACCTGTTTTGTCTATGTCCTTGAACCTGATATTTATTAATGATTGAGCTATTGATGATGAGGTTTTCTACTCTCTCTGTTAACAAGATAACATTAAATCAAGATGTTTTCTTAACAGCATTTGTAGTGATCGCTTTTATGTATTTCAAAACGGGCAATCTTGCCAGAGTTAATGAATACCGCCAAAAGGTTGGAACACCTGAATTCACAGTTGTTATTGAAAGACTCAACTCAAAATCAACATGATTGGCCCATATTTTACAAGGATTCCCTTGTCTGTTTGCTATACCTCAATTGATGCATCATACTTCTCGAACCTCTTGATTACCGTTTAGGGGATTCTAATCAAATTATCTCCCTTGCACTGCAAAATGGATCGACAACAAAAACTTCCAAAACATGATTTTCAAACATTTACTTTACAATGTTTGACATTAAATAACAATTTCTATACAGCTTGGTAAAGTACAAATATGTGACACTTGTGTCTTGAACACAACAACAAACTTCCGAAGAGGACCAGTTATGTCATGAATGGCTAGCTATATATGGCCGCAACAGGCTTTTCCTTCAGAGCTTAGCTAGCTGTCCCACATGATATTGCTTATCATACAAAATACAATCAAATACCCAACAGTCTGCTATAATAATAAATAGTTTTGATTTGTATACAACCAATATTAACATGTGAACTGAAACAGTTCTTAAAATATCCATGTGTAATAACAGGAGACTTTGAACAGCCCCTATTCCCACTCCTTTAGTTTTCAACATTAATTTACCATTTGCCAAATCGTTATCCAAACTGAAATAGGTTTTATTTCCTTTAGTTGAAATGTGTTATGAATTGTGCAATGCAATGAAAATCCTTACAATTTGCACAAGAAAAAAAATATGTATCTGAAATACAATTTCATACACTTACATACTATAATAGACTAGAATTCAATAAATCTTTAAATTTCTGAAAATGTTATTTGATCCATTTCTCTTTGATTTGTGCTACTTTTATCAAAAAGTTAACATTTCTTATTTTTGTATAAAGTCCCAAGTTCCATCTGTTCTTCGCATGACTGGTTGTAGTATTACTTGTAGCGTTTCATTGGTACCCGTTTATCTCCCCTTGTTACACAATGCATTCTTTTCATGATCATACCAACTCATAAAACATGTCCATAACTATAGATTGTAAAATCAAACAAAGGACAAAAAGCTTTCCTTTATATGACAGCAAATGCTTTGCATTAAAACTATAAAGAGGAAAAATTATCTTTATCTGAATTCCAGTAACTATAAGAGAGCCTTAATTTTAAAAGACATAAATACTAGCCGTTTTTATTAAGTGGAACACAAACCCTAGTCCAGTGATTCTAAGCAGGGCTTGTGCCATTTCTTTTATATGTACAGTGGAAAAACAAGATGAGCAACAAAGACAAGCATCAGTAGCACTAGCAATATATAACAATGTCTTGTACAGTGGGATCTACAAGGCATTTAGTAAAACATATAGACTTGGTAATCTTGTCCACTCTTTTGATACCTACCCTGCAAATGTCATATTTTAGTTTCGATTATAAAAGCACTATACAAATCAAAATAATTGCTCAAAAAAAAAATAAACCCAAAAAAATATGCACACGAAATAAAAAAGATTCTGTACTGTCTTCCAATTCTTTCTTTTCCACAGCCACTATCAGGCAACAAGTTTTATTTGGCCACAACATACATCTTGTACTGGTACTTAAATACAAACATAACTGCTGATCTAGGTCATCTACCTGTATACCTAGTACAGGTATGAGGTTCCACTGTATACATCCTCCAAACTGCAGTGAAAAACATCTTAACAAGTTCTATGTACAAATGACCAATGTTTATCTAAAATGTTCCATGCAACAGAGAAAATCTCATTTTAGTGTGTATCTGAGGTTACTTTTGGCATATAACACATCATATTTTTAATTTATATAAATACATATAATTACCTAAACATAATGAATATTGCGAAGATTTAATAAGTCGAGACCAGCTCTCCTTTGACATGTATAAGGGAGGGGATGCTGTATACGGTTTAACATTTGCCCTGTTTTACTTAACACCCTCGTATATGACTTACCATTTTCACCCACTATTAAATTTGCCCAGAAGTACACAACATTTACATTTCATCTTAAATCAAAGTTTAGCTCCCCACCCAAATTTTTGTGATATTGCCAAAATTGCAAAATTTGCACTGCAGCAAAATTTTCCCCGTATACAGTATTCCTATGGGGTGAAAAATATGGAAACGCTGGCAGAACATCACAAGCATTGATCCAAGCTAATCTACGAAAAAAAAAATTCCCTGCTGTCTGTATTAACCATCAGTGACTGATGAGGTACATGTTTTTCCCACTCAACCTCCCTTCCCCCCGCCCAACAATTTTTTTACATTTTTTTTCCAGAACTTTTCATAATACAAAAGAAAAAAAAGCCAAATGAAAATTAACCTCAAGTTTACTATAATATATAGCACTCGACAACAAAGAAATAAATCTTACTAAATCATATTTCTATATTTTCAAACATACATGATCCTGAATACAATAGAGAAATGAATAATTCAGTCTAACAAGTGATGAAGTGATTGCAGTATACCAGTACAAATCTTTTTCATGTACAAAAATGAATGATATCAATGTATGTGACATGACATGATCCAAAAATTTACTTGAGCATCGAAACTGTTAAAATTCTAAATCACACCATCTGACTTTAAACACAAGACTAGTGTTCAGATTTGACACAATCAGAACAGAAAACTGATTGGAGTTAGTGATTTTCTTTCTGGTTTTATAACCGTAAAGAAGCTAAGAAAATGTAAACTTCATTTACCTATACTTGTGTATATATACATGAGAAAAAAACAAAAATGCGCAATAGACAAGACGAAAAATAAGTTTAAAAAAATTCGTTGTTTTGAGTTTTGACTACGGACATTTCACAGCAACAAGAAAAAATGATCAGTATCAGGACTTTTGAACTTCAATAACTATCGAGAGCTTTTGAAGCATGTTGTCAAATTAAGTCAAGTTAACAATGAAAAGGGCAAAATGAGTCCAATTCCTTTAATGATGCATTATATACCTCATAATATACCCCATGAGGCATATTTCTTTAAATTCCAATAAGTGATATTATGCTTGATTTGACTGATATTTACTATTTTATACTTACACACTGTAATGTTGAATAAGTTCAAGTAGACAATTAGATCATTTTCTATTAGGGAGACTAGCACAAAAATCTCCTACGGCCATCCAAAAGGTCATTGGGAAATGAAATATGGCCACACTCGTCTATATATAAAGTTCAGAGGTACACACCTTAACAACTGAGGAGTGTCATAGTTCAAATAATTTTTTCAAAATTTATGTTACCACTTCTCTCTTGGAATATAAAATGCATATAAAATGCTTGACGGATATAATTAATGATGAACTGAACTCTAACATAAGCAGTTTTATAGAAGAGACAATAAATCGCAGGTGATACATCTACACACTATCAATCCAATGTAAATCAAGGTCGCCATGACATTGCTCCCTTGTTCGGAATCATGTCTAGGAGATACTGTCGTTGAAGCTGTAAATCAGACGGCTTGGCCCCATATGGAATTTGATAGGGAAAGCCCCCTCTAGCTGCTGCAGCAGCTGCAAATGGAGCCATACCTAGAGGCTGACCCATCCTCAGTGCTGTTTGATGGGCAGCTGCCGCTTGGTGTGCCTGTATGAAGTTCTGATGCTGGCGAATTGTCTCGGATGTTGCCTTGTAAACTGATGAAGGAAGGGAGGACGGGGGTGGCCCTGAAGACAAAGAGCTGCTGCCATTGTTGCTCGAAGAATTAGCCGTTGTATGGCTCTGCGAAGAAGAAGAAGAGGAGTTGGAGGAAGCACTCGCACTGTTGGATGAGGATGTCGTTGTTTGGGACTGCATCCTTTCTATCTCCTGCTCCTGCTGAAGAGCCTTTACAAACGCACTTTTCAGGCGATTTGTGTGCTCCTGTTTTAATGCCTTCTTTTGATTTGTTGTTACACAATTTTCACAAATCACATTCTTGGACCCTGCTTTCTCACGTTTCCACACAGGAGTAAAATCTGTGTTACACTGAATACATGTGAAAGGATTACACACCATCTTTTCATCAGGATTTTTCTGTCCTTTTGATATAAGTGCAGCATCAATGATGTAATTGACTGCTTCCTCCAAACCAAGCAGTGATATGAAGTCAGGGCTACCCAGACTGGGAATGAAATTCATTTCTGGGGGTGGAGGTTTTGGTGGAGGAATCTGTAGCAGAGTCTTTTCCAACTGTTTCCTCAAAGCCATTTTAGCTGCAGCCTGACGCTGGGCTGGAGTCTGATTGTCTGCTTCCCTAGCCTCCCGAGCTGCCTGAGCAGCTGCCTGGGCAGCTTGTGCCGCCTGAGAATTCTGATTCTGTCGGTAGTTTGACATGATACTCCCATGACTTCCATGAGACTGATGCGATTGTCCTGGGACAATGCCACCCTGATAACCCATGTGTGGTATACGACGATTGTCAATACGCTGTCCACCACCCATATTCACCAAAGGAGGCGGCCCCTGCTGATGTGTCCTGCTTGACTGGGGCATCTGGTTGCCCCGCATGAGTTGTGGGGGCTGGCTATGAGCATGAGCAGGACGAGCCTGTGGCTGCTGCTGCTGCTGTTGTGGCTGACTGCCACGCACCAAAGGTGGTGGCTGTGATACAGATTGTTTAATTGAGGGTTGTTTGTTGTTAACACTAGTATGCTCCTGTAGCTGATGTGATAATTGACTCTGTTTCAATCTTTTCAACAGAACTAATTTGGCTTCTTCATTACGTAGCTCGGATTCAAAATGCTTAATGATCTTGCGCCTCTTATGGATTTCACTCTGGGTGAGTTCATGAATATCTCCATTCATTAAAGGTTCCTCTTCCGATTCTGAATCTGACAACATAATAATGTCATTGCCATTTGTTGTGGAGTTTGACTTGGTACTGAGATCCATCGGAATGTCTATATCTAACCGACGATTTTCTTTTTCACTATCCTCAGACTTGCCTGTTGATGCATCATCATCTATTTTACCATCACTGACACCGTTCACTTTCATTTCTGTGGGTTGAAAAGAACGTTTTCGTGGTCTGTGTGGTAAACTGTTAGATAAATTTTCACCATTTTCATTTGATTTTTTCTCATCAAAGGATGTTGTGGTATTATTTTTTTCTGAATCATCACCATTTGATGTCACTAGATTTTCCTCTGAAGTACTATCACTCTTGCCATTAGCACCAATTTTGTTTCTCTTATTCTCAGTTTCATCTGAATCACATTTCCCCCTGTTATCACTCAGTGAACTTTGATCTTTCTTTTCCTCTCCATCATTCAGACTAGTAGAATTATCCTTACTATCCTCGTTGGATAATGTTTTGTCTTCTTTCCTACCACTTGCTTCCTGTTTTTCCTCTTTGCTTACATCACTTTTTGAACAGTCATTCTCTATCTCATCATCTTTTATTTCAGATGTATTACAAGCATCATCCTTTAAACTGTTGGAGTCATCAATGCTGTCCTGCACATTTTCAGAATCATTCTCCTCTGTATTATCCTCCTTTTGATTCTCTTTCTCTTTTTCAAAATAGGATTCCTCATCAGAAGCTTCAGATTTTGTCCTGAAAAAAGTGAAATAATAAGACTTGTAATCAAGACACAACTTTGGAATATTCATTTGAAGATTCTTCAATTCAGCGAATTTTTTAAACCATCACTTAAAATGTTATGGAATTCTTTTCATCTTCAATTAAAACTATGAGTCTGAAAATATGAAATAACATCCGACAAGTTTTTTCTGTGAATTTGTATACCCTTTTATGACAAAACAACTTTCAGTAAATTGATAAAATTAGAGCTGTTTTCAAATGTCCGATGCTGTCTAACCGACAACATAGGCCCGATTTTCTTTTTCAAAAGGTCAACAGATTTTGGCTCTCAAATACAAGATTCTTTCTGCATGTAAATATGTGTAATATTAAAACTAAATAGAAAAGATAAATCAATTGTCCATTTTCATTTCATACAAAATGATACATTTTTGTTGGTATACAAGACAGTTAAAAAATAATTCTTGTGTGTTCATATAATGATCACTTTTTGTCTACCATCAGTCTCTCAACATTTCATCATAGCAATTAACTATTTATTACAAAGTTTCTCACATTAGGACTTTCAAGGTTCTCAGGTACCTAAACAGACTTTCCCCACTCCTCATCCCTCACCCCACCCCAAAATTTCCAGTCCATTTTTACAAAAATGTGCATCAATCCGGTTCTAATTGTATGTATTTTTCAAAGCCCCTATCTTTCCCTATGCCCACCTGATGTGATATTTCAATATAATTGATTGAAATATCTACCAACACCCCTTGTCATTAATTAAAATACTACCATATATAATAACCTGTTTTTCTCCAACACCCAACACACAAAGATCAGTGACCAGAAAATACCATGGACTTTTAAGTATAGATATCTAGATAGGCAGAGAGAACATAGAAAAACAATAAAGGTCAAGGACAGTGGAATCATTGTTTCATGTAGAGGCATATTTTCAGATTTATACAATATATGCTCAAATGTAACAAATTCACACAGGAGAAAATAACACACCACACAGGGTTTTACATATAATAGTTCAACAACGATGAAAAATCAACTGAATCTCTTTTGTAATATTTAGGATATCGCCTTCTCCTATTGCTAACTTAACAGTTGCTATAATCTCTACAATGGATTTAAGATCACTAATCTAGAGACAGCATTGTTTTGAAAATCTTCAATATATAAATGTAATTGCATAACTCAAATAACAACCTCTTCACCTATGCTATTATCTCCCCTTTAACCAGCCATGAGGTAAAACGGCAGGATTGACGACCATTCTTTTTTAAATTTCCAAACTTGTGAGTTTTTAAAGTGCACTTTCATGTTTTAATTCTGCTTCAAGATCAAATTAATTGTGAAACATTTAACATTCAAGTCAATGTCTCACAACATCAACTGCACAAAATTGCCACAAAGAAAACCCCAAATGGAATTTTTTTTAATACTACATTACCTATTTTCAATGTCAAAACAACTGATGATAATGAAAGGAACACTGCCTAAAAAAATCTTAATTTCTCTGTCTGGAATTTGGTTTACCCATAAGTACAGCATTAGTGTAACATGAGAGCTAAGATAAGCAAGCTTGTAGTCAACACATTTTAGTGACTTCATGTCAAATGTAAAATGGCAAGCATAAGTCTAGCTCAAACATTAAATTAAATGGTCTGAAAAAAACCCAGTAACTTTATCTGACCAATTCCTTGAAATTTTATTAATCTTTTATTGTTTATGTCATTGACATCAATGTCTCTTATGATCAGCTTGGGGAAAATCATGTATTTGCATATAATTTACAAAACTGCCTAGGATACACCCATTTCATGTGTCACTAAAAATAGCTTAAATCATTTAAACAGTAACTTTTGCAATTTATTATCAAAAGTTGCATTAATTAATGACAAGGTATATAATTTTTACTTACAAATGTTTACAGAAAAATTCTGGTTTCTTAGTAGTAACTATACTTATGTAACATAGAAGCCTGAAGTACAGCATTTATTTTCAGTAATTTCCCTTGTGCAAATAAATTTTATTTTTCCAGTTTTATGATTAACCATGATTAAATAAATGCAACTTAGGCAAAAAGAAAATTAAAAAACTAAGTTTGAAGTGACGTTGGCTAAAAAAAAAACAATCCATACACTGTGTTTTATGGGCCAGTTTAAATAATGAATGCAAAGTCATGTTTTTTCCCGACCTGATGATGATGTTACATACTTTAAACAGAAATAGTTCTATCCCTATTATTTTCTAGAGAGGTGGGGCTTTCCAGTAGCCTAACTTTTATATCTACTTACATGACGCCAGTAAAAGGTATCAAACTAAATTTAGATCACATTTTCAAGGATGATTTTGAATAAGGGAATGAAAAATAATAGTAAAAGAACTAATCTCCAGAGCTTATTCTAATTTACAATGAAAAGACATTAACCTTTTCTCTGGCTGATCACCTGATATTTCAGTGTCACTAGAGGATCTTTTCCGCTTGGTAGGAATCGCCTCAGCATCACTGCAATAAAAAGCAAATGTTTATCCTGAATGTAAATGCAACATTTCTGAACTAAAATAAACATTAACGTCCCCGCTCCTTATATACATACCAGAATCTGATAAGGAGTAGATCTTGAAGACATAATAACATAAATATGAACCAAATCTGTTTAGAGTTTCTCAAGATCACACTATATCCCTGTCCCTCAATAAAACGGAGGGGTACAACCTTCATTAAATCTATTCCCAAACATCAATCTTGAATGCTGGAATGGAAATGTATGTGGGATCTTACTCTGAGGGGAAAGTACCAAAAGGAAACTTGATGGGGTCATGCAGGTGACACCAAATTTTTAAGGTCCAATCAGGGAATTAAACCCTAGTCACCTACGGGAAAGAAAAGTGCATTATCACTCAGAAAGAATATTGTAACGGAGTTGGGTCAATGGTAAGTTCCCAAATCTACCCTCAAGCTAAAAAGTGTAAAAAAAAACCTGAAGACAAAACACATTTTTATGTGTCATATTAGCCATACAAATTCACCTGTCTGTGGTAAAGACCATGATGGTTATTGATAGACTGTCTTCAGACTAAAAGCCACATATATTTGTTAGTGTAAGATATTAATAAATGTTACATGTTCTAACTTAATATCTGTATCTTCATTCAGAGTGGCTATTACATTACCAATGATATCGACATGGGAGCAAATAAGTAAATATCAATTTGATATTTCCAAATGTAGATTTCATTGTGTAGATAACTTACCCATCTTCTTCTGGTTTATTATCTATATCCTCTGTAGGTAGTTCCTCTGTGGATGCCATTTTTACGTCTTAATTAACCTGAAAGTGCCAGAAACTGTGTATTCAAGTGCATAGAAATCTCACATTTTCTACATATGACTTATTCACTTATCATCGCCTGCATACATTATATGTATACTCCATTCACAACACATCTGCGTTAAATTTAAATCTGACATGCATAATTAAAATGTGCAATAAATGAATTACCCAAGGTAATGATTCTCTTTTATTCAGAGTATCGTTGGTGAGCTCAAAGTTGCTATGAATATTACAATATTCTATGCCACAATTTTTAATTAGGTATGCTGTCCGTAAAGAAAATGACAACACTGATGTCTTCTCTAAAGACTGTTGGTAAATTAATACTACCTAATCTCTTGTCAGAACACGTTGATGATGTTTGGCCTTGTTTCAAATCTACCATGCCTACGACATACAATGTGGTTTTCTCTTTGTGAAGTACGCGTCACTGCGAGTATTTAGATATGCTACAAGCCATACTTACAACTTCACGCTTCAATGCCACATTGCACGAGGCGACCCTCACCCCTGGGGATTATCAAGATGGCGGCTCCCCACCCCCTGTATACCAATTCTATTTACGAAGAAATCTCACAGACAGTATGGTATGCAGCGTATACAGAGGATGCAGCACGCGTCAGTTTTTGACGTCAAGTGCTTTATATTTATTACCTGATGCAAATTAGGCAGTCAGATCACGTTTCACGGAAAATCAAAACGAGGCTAGTGACCGACACTTGTCAATTTTTCGCGTGCAAGACGCCCGATGACCCGATGGCATCCGCATTTTAACCTTGCCATATGAACGATACACATTCAAACCAAACACTGAACTAGTCGTCAGCCCTTATTGATAAATAAACAACATATCTGCCGATCAATAATCAATTAACTGATTACGTTAGTATATATAAAGCTGTTATCTACTAATTAGCATTGTTCTTATCACAACGTTGAATAATTCGAGTGAATCCACGAGCGGCCATTTTGAAATCAAGTAATGCACAATTTCACCCCAACAAGCAGGCACATTTGTTTGATATTTCATAACATCGTACTTACAAAATAAAACCACGTGTAAACACAAGAATTTTTAGTAAAATGTCCGGTTTATATGGCGGTTCCTGCATCTGTTAAGAACTTTCTGATGTCAACATCAGGAATCCACATAGTACACACACAAGTAAGTTAAAACATTAGCCAAACTAGAGCTTTTGAGCACATGAAATAACGTTTAAACGTTATGACAGCACGTTAACGTTACTGGACCAACATGATTCATGAATGAATATAACAACCTTACACACAGACCGAGTGTATGTGAACTTACCGTAGACCGATCCACTATCGGCCCGGGGTAGCAAGGTAGAAATCTGCTGTATAATCCAGAAATAAACTGAAATCAGTGGCTAAAAATAATTTCTAACACAAAGAAATGACGCCGGCTCAGTTTGAACGCGAACACCGCCTCTTCCGTGTTCGATAACACATTCCTGTGCCACTCTTTGTCCCTTGTTATCTTCTCTCCATCAATAGTTCTTTCAAAGATGGCATCCTATGTCTGCGGGGTTCACCAACGTTGTAGCATGGAGCAAACAAACAAATTGTTTACAGATAAACAACACTCTAATAATGATTGGATTACAACAATCACGTGACTCTTTGAGGAAACTGCGAACATGCTTTTATGTGGCAATACTCCAGTGACCTTGTTTCTAAAAATAGACCACACATCTCTTCACATGGCACTGCCAATAAACAATATACACTTTGAAATGACACTGCAGCAGATAGCTATAAGCAGATTCTTTTTCCGACAAAGTTATACATATTTTTTCCAAATCTTTATTTTTTTTTAAATATTTGAAATAATTTTAATCAATATTGATAAATCAATTCGAAGCTTATAAATGTACTGATCTACCTGGAGACACACTTGACTTGCAGCTTGTATACTGAAGTCATTTACTGTGTTATAGTGCCTTTCCCCCCAAGCGCATTTATTAAAATTAAAAGTTTTCTACAGGTACTTCACATGATGATTTATTCGTTAAAAGAATGATATAAATAATCGTTTTTCTTCATTCGATAGCAATATTTGTCTTTGTGGGAGTGTTACATAATTATTTCATGTAAATCGAATGAAATTAAATAATGAAAAATGTGGACTACTTTCAAGGCTCCGGACATCGTCCCATTGTGTTTGATGTCAAAGAAGAACTTTTTCATATATATATTCTGTGTGATTTTTTCCCCCGAAACAAACCTTTATTTTTTTCATTTAAATGATATTATGATACTATCATAAAAGATTCTGATGAGGTTTAGGTTTCCATGTAAATATCCTCTACTTATCATATAATTGGATATACATTTCAGCTGGAAGGATCTTAATAAAGTTTACAGATTTTACAGGTGTGCGACGGTAATTGAACTGTGACGTCATGAAAATTAGTTCTAAATGACGTCAGGTTCCAAAATCAGATGACGTCATACTACAAGCGCGGATCTTGGCGACACATTTTGTTGTCAAGTTAAGATAATATTTGTAAACTGGCTTATCAGAAGATATGATACGAAGAAATAGCATGACTTATTGGATCAATTAGTCAGTTAGCAATGTCACCATGATATGACATATCATTCCCACCATACACAAAAATGATCCATTAGTCATCTATCGATTCGTCATTTACAATTTAGATTAGAAGGGAAAGGATAAATAAATATGCAAATGGGAAAAGTCATTCTCCAAACCAGTGCTAGCCTATGTATCATATATATATAATTACTACACACTGTACTAACATAGTAGACATATCTTGCATCTTATGGTATTTCTCCTGTTCCCTCCCGTTTATTGAGAGAGGCATAGTCATAGTCAGAAATGTTTACGGACTTGAGCAAGACTATGGGACTTTTCACAACTCATTTCATCGTTTAACAAGAAATGCATGGTATGTTGCCGATGAAATCAAATGTCTATTTGAAATTCATAGAAAGATTATATCCGTGTATGATTATTTGATATTATTTGATTACTAACACAGAGTTTTGCTGCTGTTATTGAACTTTACAGTTTTAAATGAGATGGTATACATTGAATACACGATAAAAAAATTGTATGTAATTAATTACAATAAATACACAAGTCATATCTTCAATATAAAAAAGTAATAAAATATCGTTGTGATGAACTGATGGGAACGTTCCCTTTGTTAAGTGAAATACGTTTTTGAACCTATTTATTGTGTGTGTGTGTGTGTGTGTAAGGGGGGGGGGGGCGGGGAGGCGCGTCTTAACAACAGAAAGAACAACACGAAAATGAGATAAAAAGCGTCGCCTTGCGACAAGTTTATAGCTTTTTAAGAATATTTATGTTATGCTATTCAACAACCCCACAGTATCTAGTACTTAGGAGAGGCAGTTTTCAAATAATGATATGCAGAGGTTTTGTAAACACTTGGACATTTCATAAAACAGACAAGATTGGGAATTCACATTGACGTCAATATTCAGCCTCTTCATGTGAACGGAGTGTTCCAAAACATTCATAAAGGTGAAATAATTGTAAAATGATCTTTATATATTTCAGCGATATTACAAAGTTCACTGTAAGGGTATAGAGAACACTGTGTTATACAGACATAGTAACACTCCTCCTTTTAAAGTAAAAATACTAAAATATTTTTCATTATTTCATTCTTTATCTTTTAACGAATTTATACTCCATATTAATCAATAGCACTTTGAAGTTCCTAAAACCTTTTCTTTAACTCTACATCGGAAGATTTCTTAGTACTAAGAATGGCAGCATGAGGTTTGGCAACATTCTTGGTTGTGCATTGGGTGGCAAATGAAGATCGCGATAAAACTTGCTGCCGAAACGACTTTTCTAAGTTTAACAACACAATGTCAATACGAAAAGTACATATCCTCAGTGACAACCCGAAATATTTTTATACTGAAGTAGAATTAGCCAAAACTAGGTCATAGAAAAAAAAATGTATAGGATGTTTGTGGCGCCTCTTGCTCCATCAGTAAACGGTGTCGTTGGTTACGAGGATGCCCAAACGACAAAAATGCTTCTCTAGGAGAGTTCCTCCAATCGGTTACAACACAATGTGTTCACCATATCTTTCCAAAGAATTCGGAAATATTCCTAAAATCCTTAAATCCATATTTCGTCTGTTTTGTCAAAGATTGTACACAGGACACACAAAGGAAGACACAGAAGAGAATAGCACCTTTTCATAATTTAGAGCGAGATACAGTAAAGTCAAAAAATGAATTTAAATGCATCATACAGCTGTTTCGTCCTTCTAGGACTCGTCAGTGATGCTACATCATACAGCTGTTTCGTCCTTCTAGGACTCGTCAGTGATGCTAAGGGCCTAAAATTTGAAGCCTAGGAGGCGACTGAGGAAAATCCAAAGTGATCAACAAAAAAGTCAAAATCGAGACGAGGAGGTGCAGCAGCCCTATAATTAGATACATTTCGTAATTTTCATACATCAGATACTTTTAGAATAGCGTCAACTTTAGTCGAAATGTTTGAGAAAACTGTTGCATTCATCTTAGTGTATGAGGGCCTCACAAAGATGTTCAATCTTGCGCCAGTGCACATGTGAAAGTATTGAATATTCTAACAAACCAGTCTAAAAAGCTTGAAGAAGTGACCTCATTTATCTCCATTTATTGTGCTCCTATTCGTTATAAGTCATGCTTTTGTTGTCGATGATGAATACAGTGGAGGATGAATCACACAATATTACTGAGCTACTTGTAATAGAAACCAATCATTGTATGCACGCTTTTAAATGTCAACACGCAAATGATGAAAATTTAAAGCGATGATGACAATGTTGCTGCATCCCGGTTGTGTGTTTCGACTCCTTGCTCGGTGCATCCCCAGAATAAGGGCTGACAGGGGGATAAGACAATAAGCGTCTGCGATAAGTCTACAGCTACTGGCACGTCTCTCCACCACTAGCCAGCAGGATGCCTTCTTTGTTGCTTGGAACCTCCAGGCCACTTCAAGTCCAGAGAACATGTGTCACACAGTCTGTGCGGGGAAGCCTCCGAAGCCTAGTTCTACTACATGGAATGTTCCAGGATTGACAACACCTCTACCGACAATCTTGCACATTGCCTCATGTTTGCTCTTCTTGAACTCCCTTACATCTCTCCTCCCATGTAACCCAATAAAGATGATCTTCCTGGTACCTGATGACCAAAGAGCTATATCCGACCCGAGATAGGTTCCACAGATTGGGCAAACTGATGTCTGGACAAGATATCACCAATGAAGATTTGCTGGTGTTGGAAACAACGACCAGAGAAGAAATTGCAGTAGAGAATGTTTTTTCTCCAGATGTCAGATAAGAAAAAATAGTTCTTCCGGCCTGTCTCCTATCTTGACCAGACTCTTGACTTCCATGTTTTTCTTTCTGAACATGCTTCATCTTTCCTGGTGTCGACATCCTTCCTGCTCTTAACCTCATCTTCAGCTTCGTTTCTGAAATTCTACAACAGTTCGGTACATCGTCTCATTATTTGGAGTCCATCAAAGTCATGATATCACGAATCATTCTCACACAATGGATGTTGTGGGAACTCGAGCTTGACTGCTCTACTATAGAAAAAAGAGGCTAGTAGAAGTCAAGCATGGTGGAATTCCAAATCACTTTCGCAGGTGCTTGTTGATAAACCGCTTCATTTTCTCAACGGTTAGTGCCATTTTTCAGTATTAACGGCCATGTGTGTGGTGACAACCTTTACTGGTACACTCACGTAATAAACAGCAAGACTTGCCAATGTCTCAGAAACCCATCGAGATTTGCTGTACTACCCTGCTGGTATTGGTTCTTTTTCCAAGCGTTTCGTCAAACCGATTCCTATTTACATCCATACAGTCACTGATATAGAACACCCAGTAGCTTTATCTTTTAGAAGGAAAATGTAATGTCTCAGGCGGATGTCCCTGAAATAGCTTCTATTTAGTCCTCTACAGTGCTGGGGTATATGCGGGGAAAAGGGGTACCCGTTTTGTAGAATCAACTCCTCCTAGAGTTTTTGACGTAGGAGCTTGAAACTTTGTAGGATGTTTATATATATGTTGAAGATATGCACCTCCTATAATGGATTCATTCCGGATATTTTTCTGTATTTTCCGGGCTTTGGAACTAAGTAATTTTCCGCAGTTTGGAAGGGAAAAGGGGTACCCGTTTTGTAGAATCAACTCCTCCTAGAGTTTTTGACGTAGGAGCTTGAAACTTTGTAGCATGTTTATATATATGTTGAAGATATGCACCTCCTATAATGGATTCATTCCGGATATTTTTCTGTATTTTCCGGGCTTTGGAACTAAGTAATTTTCCGCAGTTTGGAAGGGAAAAGGGGTACCCGTTTTGTAGAATCAACTCCTCCTAGAGTTTTTGACGTAGAAGCTTGAAACTTTGTAGCATGTTTATATATATGTTGAAAATGTGCACCTCCTATTA